ATTACTTCCTTCATAATCCCAAGAATTCAACTAAAAAACATTTCTCTTCATGTTGTCTGCACTGAAATGAATCATAGGATATGTAGTTTCTGATGTTTATAAGATCTTGCTACTATAAAACCAGGCATTTAAGCAAAGGAACTTGTAATTCAATATATTGTGACAGCCCACGATATTATTATGAGACTTTTCACGATACGATATCATGATATTTCGATCACTGATACATCCCTTTACGTCCCTTTTCTTTTTTTCTCAGTTACTGTACTTGATTGGTGAACCTGATCCTATATTAAACATTATCTATACTGACAAAACAGCTACAGTGTCTACATCCATTAAAGTCTGTTTATCTGAAAAAAAAAACATTTGTATTATTTGTATTTTAATGCACTCTCAGGCCCCACAGGTATCAAAACTTGTTATCAAAGATAAAATTCTTGTGTTTGTGCCTGATTATGAAAACATGTGTAGGCTAGACTGTTGTTGTGACTGTTGCAGACACAGGAAGGAAGTGGTGGCAACTACTGAAGGCTATATAAACCCCTAAATATACATGTAGTCATCACTGTTGGGCAAGTTACTTCAAAACTGTAATGTGTTATTTATTACTTGTTACTGTCATTTCAAAGTAATTCGTTATATTACAATATCACTGCATTTAAAATGTAAGGCATTACATTACTATTGCATTACTTTTAAGTTACTCTCACCAAAATAACTGCTGAACTTCTGCGCCTAATTCGGACTGAACCAGGACTAAACCAGGTCTAAACCAGGACTAAACCAAAACTGAATCAGAGCTGAACCCGGACTGAATCAGGTCTAAACCAGGTCTAAACCAAAACTAAACCAGGTCTAAACCAAAACTAAACCAGGTCTAAACCAGGTCTAAACCAGGTCTAAACCAGGGCTGAACCAGGACTGAACCAGGTCTGAACCAGGACTGAACCAGGTCTAAACCAGGCCTGAACCAGAACTGAACCAGAACTGAACCAGTACTAAACCAGGACTAAACCAGAACTAAACCAGGACTAAACCAGGACTGAACCAGAGCTGAACCAGGACTGGGCCAGGTCTAAACCAGGACTAAACCAGGACTAAACCAGGACCAAACCAGGTCTAAACCAGGACTAAACTAGGACTGAACCAAAGCTGAACCAGGACTGGACCAGGACTAAACCAGAACTAAACCAGGACCAAACCAGGACTAATCTTGGACTAGAACTTGGAAGCGCCTCGCAGACAGGGTGTCTGCAAAGCGCGATCGGGCGTCACCTGTGTTTAGCCTCGTGAAGTGTGGAGGGTCTACGTGAGCACGTCTCCGGCGTTTCACCGCTGCTGATATCGCAGTGATATTAGCAAATTTGAATGAAGAAAAACGAAAAACCCACCACTTCAATTCAGGTTAAAAATGCACTGTAACACACGTTACTGACATTTGTACCCAGTAAAATATTACAATTTTTTTCCCCTGTAATGCCTTACATTACTGTGTTACAGCAAAAAGCAATGCATTACAGTAATTCTTCACTTTTATTATGCATTACTCCCAACACTGGTAGTCCTATACAAAGGTGTGTAATGTGTAGTTAAAAATCTACTTTTTAAACAGACTTTTCTCAGTGTAAAGGTTTTTACGTAGTTATATAATATGGGAATGACCTACATATAAATGTGTGTAAACTGGTGACCAAATGATTCTCTATGGTTGATCTGTGACATTACTCCCAACAAATACCTTTTTGTATTCTAAATCCACTGTGTTTTTTTGTGGCCCCATATATTTTGCTGTTTATATTTCTGACGTTTTCTGGTTATTATTTCTTTATTACTATTTCAGTTAGTAAAACTCAAAATGTTATGGCCAATATCAATTTGTAGATGAATACATCACAATTAGTTTTGCATTTTAAATCTAGATTTTATAGAAACAGTGTGAATCCTAATGATTCTTCACAATTTTTTATAGTTTATAAGTGCTTTTCACACCTCTCAGAGACCAGTGAGGAGATTTGCAGTGAATGTAATGCAACCATCTAGCATGCTAACGGGACTTCCTGATTGTCAGCCAGAAAATTGCTTTCTCACTAGATGTGGGCAGCACACATTGGACATATTTTGACCTCAAAAGCTGCTTTTACAATAAATCTGTATTGAAACAAGGCAAATGTTGCTGAAATAAACAGAAAAAAAGCAGTAACTGGACCTTTAACTTTAACTTTTAACCCGCCTGGGATTTTCGAAATTGTGATATGAGAAACTGCTGTTGTTGTGATCTTTGGATTTGTATCTTATGAACTCTTATGAATGCTTATACTCAATAGTCTGTGTCTGGACCTGTAGCCAGACTTGACCCTTCCTCCTCTTTTCTCTCCCTGCTCTTTTAATACTATTGCTTTTTCAGCCCGTGTTATTGTGGTTGACCCAGACATTTTACGCTGTCACCTCTTTCAGGGATCAGACCCAAATGAACGAGGGGGTGGTGATGTCAGATTAGCTGCAGCTCAGACCTGTGTGGGCTGAGATGTGACAGGCGCGGGATTATGACCTCACACGTCTGTTGGGGAGGTATTAGCGCACTCTCCTGGGTCAGTAATGCAGTTAAAGGTGTCAGATGGGGGGTTGTTACGAAAGTGCAGAATCTGTGGTCAGACGTGTACAATCTGAGATGCAGGTTAAATAATCTAATCTACTATTACTTTTATTTCTACACACACTCCTGCACATACCCTTGTAATGCTTTGGCTGTATCTCATAAATTACCATGTACTTTCACTCATCAAATATGGTCTATTTGGTTTCTGTGACAATTTATTAAAACTACATGAGTTATTTTACACTATAAATTTTATTTTGGTGTGCTTCTATATGGTTAATCACTTACCAAACCACACTTCTTGAAATGTTTCTATGATAACCTTTGTAATTTGAACCACAAGCTTTACCACCACGTTTAACTGTGGTTAAGTTGTACTTTACCTTACATTTTCTGGTGAATTATCTGTGACCCTTTATCAGAGAAGTTACATAGTGCACATTTAAATAATGTCTTTTTCACCTTTGAGACTAAACGATCGATTGCTCTCCAGAGAAGTCAAAAGTACCGTATTTTCCGGGCTATTAGGCGTGCTCTTAAGTCTCCAACTCCATCAAAAAACTACTGCGCGCCCCGCAATCCAGAGCGCTCTATACGCGAATCCACTCGGATGTCCCAGCACGACTCCAGTAAACTACAAAGCCACACCACCCACAGCGCACGCAAACATGCATGGAGCAGACAGCGACCGCCCAGTGACAAACACCTGCAGCCACCACTCATCACTCCACGCGGATGAGGAACGGAACGAAGGAACAAACCGAAAAAGCAAGTGCAATGTGCCACTTCTAGACACAACTGAACAACTGAGTCACTGCGAACACGCCAAGAATCCAACGGTCCCACACAGCATCCTCCCTACGTGCCACAATTGAACAAAGCAGAGAGTCACCGTGAACAAAGTCCGACTGAGCCATCCAACTGTTGTGTTTTGTTTTAAGTCAGTGCGGTTTATTTGGGGAAAAAAGTTTGAAAATAGACCATTTAATGACAGTGCGTATTATAATCCAGAGCTCCTAATAGCCCAGAAAATACGGTCTCTTGATTGTATAAAAGGGTCCACTCTTTGCTAATCTAGGTTATAATGTAGTTTCTTCATCAAAAACATACCCAGAGTTGTGTTTTGTTTCATTCACATGTCTGTCATGTGATAATACAGGAAGTGCTCTACTATGCTCCACTTTTTAACCTCCATTCACTATAGAATAATTTTGATAATTTGGAAGTTCCAGTCTCTACTGAACTTAAGGTAAAGGACAATTGTTTCCGGACATCACAAGATGGAAACTATTGATAATTGGTTACTCAAACATAAGCATGAAACAAAACACAATTTCATGGTTTTGTCATGGTAAAAACATTCTAACAATGCTTAAAGGTGCACTGTGTAACTTTTTGGTTGGCTCCTTCTTTTTTTGGAGATGTCATTATACATGTATTTAATTACAGATGGTTTTATAGCTCAAAAATGCCTACAAAAACAGACATTCTGACTGTGAGCGGGGTTTCCTCTCCACAGCTCTGACTTGTAACTTGATCTGTTTTGGCCTCCATGAAGATAGAAAGGTCTTCACGGATAAAAGCATTAGATGGACCCTCCACCAGAAAAATTACACAATGCACTGGAGTAAATTTGGCATAATATACAACCTTTAAAGTTTGTTAGTAATTATGTATTAGTTTCATTGTAAGGATAAGTAATATATACACAGGATTAGCACTGTTTCTTTCCTGTAAATCACTTCACAAACTGTAATGAAGTTAGTTACATCACTAATTAAATCAGTGTAGCATCATGTGTGACAATTACCAAGATTTACTGGAAATTCCTAACATTGTTTCCTCTCGGGATGGTGCACTGTCATGCGATGTGTTGTTTTTGGGAGAGATTTTTAATTAAATCTTTTTTTTTTTCTTGTATTTTTCTCTCTTAGGTCACACTTCAGAGTCTGGAGAACTTCCTTTGCCTTTTCCACTATGTCCAGCATCTCCCCAACCAGACCAAAGATGCACTGAAATTCTGGTACGCTGATATTTTGATTTGAATTCCATCAACATTTTAGTGTCAAGAAACCCCCTGAAAGCCTTATAAGCTTTCATGTAATCAGACAAGAATAATAAAAGCTCACTGATATTCAGTTTTTGAAGTTTAAATTACAAATATTAAAAATTGTGGCTCAGCTTTGAAAATAATTTTACAGTATGCTTTTGTCTGCTATGTAGCTATCTATGTTACACAACACATTATCATTATTTTAGCCTTTTTAAATTGCAATATTGATTGCTGATTAGAGAAAATAAGTCTAGAGCAGTGGTCAATTGGCCATGTATAGGGGGTAGGGGAAAACTGTAGTTTTTGAAGCAAGGACACCTCAAATAACTATTACTTAAAACTGCAACTTCAAGTGCATAAATGAGAAGCGGAAACAGTTATAACATGGTTAAAAGCTGATCTTGTATAATATGTCTCCTTTTAAAAGTGAGCTGCTTTAAGCCATTGTTGACCTTTTATGTGACCAAAATTGGGTTCAATTTATTCAAGTAAAAAAAAAAAAGAAACACATTAGCAACCTCTGACCAAAACTACTTAAACTACTTTAAGCACTACTTTCTTGTCAGTGTAACTTCTATCTTTTCTGGAGTAAAAGGTTTCTCATATTATGCAATCTGGCTGCATTAGAGTTGGAGGGCCTGGCTGCATAGATTTCCATACTGATGAGGGAAAGTTTAGGGACATTAGCACCTCTCCAGCTTCTTGTTTGTATTCAAAGCTGTTTAAGTAATGCACGCACACTGCACCTGGAGTTAGCCACATTAGCATTCATGAAATCTGCCTGTCTTCGGCTGAGTGCTGATGACTTTGGACAGCTTCAGTTAAAATGGTTGAAAGAAAAAAATGCTTGTGTCCAAACAGAAAAAAAAAATCATTTAATTTTCTTGGCAATAAAACAGCATAATTGGCCACTCCAGTCATTTTTGCTGGAATTTTGGTTTTGTCAGAAAAATATCAAAAGCAATGGTTGGATTAGATGCTGAGGGGCAGTGTGAGACAGGGAGGCAAGCCTTACCTGAGCTATACTGTTTTTTTCTGTCCCAAGGCAAGACAATTCACACATTGCATGTTTGGTAACATGCAATGACAACTTCCAACGGGCTCTGTTCGCGGTAGTAAGGCCATGCATTTAAAGTTCTATGAATAAGTTTGACAAAAGTCTTGTTTAAATGTATTGCTGAGGGGTGAGGGACTCCAGTTTGTAGATGAATTTAAGTATCTTGGTGTTACCTTGGACTCCACTTTAACTTTTAAAAAACATGTAAAAAACATATCAAAAATTGTTAATTTTAATATTCACAATTTTAGGCAAATTAGAGCATCATTGCCAGAAAATGCAGCTAAAATATTTCTCCACAGCATGATTCTCTCTCATATTGAATACAGCATTACTAACTGGTCACTAACAAGCATGACAACCTTAAAAATAATAGAATCACTTTTTTAAAAAGTGTTAAAGATATTTGATAGGAAATCTTTATCGTTTCATCATTGTCTCATACTACAGAAGTATAATATCTTAAGTTTGGGAAATTTTCAAAAATGTAAACTCGCCTGCTCAGTCTACAAAATCTTAAATGGACTTGCTCCACCAGCTCTGGGTGAGTTCATTAAGCCCAGGTCCAGCACTAGTGGTCGGGTAACAAGAGCCTCTATCAGAGGCGACTGTGCAATACCCTATAGACGCACAACTTTCAGTCAACAGGTGTTATCAGTCAAGGGCACAGAAATCTGGAACAACATCCCAGCTGCTATAAGAGACTCCACCACATTCAGTTCATTTAAAACTAATCTGAAGCGATGTCTTAAGAGAAACCAGATTTGTGATCACTAATGTTATGCTCCTATGTAAATGTCAGTGTTGTATGTCATGCTTGTGTGTTTGTCTATTGTGACGCGTTTTATGTTCTTATGTTTTATGTCTCTATCTCTCTGACCTGCCAGGGACTACAGATGAAAAGTAGCCTTAGGGCTAATTCTGGCGTATTTACAAGTATATGTTCATGAATATGCACTGTCCCTTTTAAATAAATAAATAAAAATCTAGGAAAAATTTGAAAATGTAATGTCCCAGTTTTCTTCATCTACATGTCACTGTAGCGTTCCGTTATGTTTGGCTAATCAACAATTACAACCTTACCTCAGTTTTCATCATTTCCACACTGACACAAAACTCCGAGTGCACTGGGTACATGCGATTAGAAGAGATGAGGGGCCAAATTCAAGATTATTCCAAACAGCACATACGTATGCACTCTTCATTTACCGCTGACGACATTTACGTCAGTGGGTTTTATCACAGTCCTAGTGTCGATAACTACACCAGGAGTTGTCATTGCATGTTGCCTGGTTTGTGACATAAGCGTGAATAGAGCCTATTCACCTAAATTGCCAACTCAAGTTATATAGCATCTAATGAAGGACATCTGGTGTAGAACCTGCAGCTGATTCACTCGTGCAACCTTTTGCTGGATGAGAACCCAAGGAAGCTATGGCCAGGGATGGCTAATTGTATCTAATCAGAGAAGATGTTGGATGAAAACTGTGTGGGCACAACTGCTTATGCTGTTGGTTCATTGTTAGACTGAGAAAGGACTAAGTGTGTGTGACATGCAGTTAATTATTAAATATATGTGGTTCAAAATCAGGTACGAGCCCTTTAATTTGTTGGAGATTTAAAATAATAAACAAAATTCTTCTAATAAACAAAAAATGTAGGTGATGCCAAAAATTGTGGTCATTTTTAATATAAATATATAAATTAAATTGTGCTGTTGTCAGTAGGGCTGTGCAAAAATATTGAAATATCGATATATCGTATCACTTTGATATGTATTGCCAAGAGTATTTTTTGGTATATTTTACTAAGTGATTTTGTTACAGAGCTACAGTTTTGTTGTTTGTTTAGTGGAAGGAAACTTGTTTATGCAACACATTTGACATTTTCATTGTTTTTGATGATTAAAATGTTTGTGTTTCATATGAACTTTGCAAAAGAAGTGGTTTAACAAAGACTTTTAGTATCACAGCCATCATTTAGCCTTTATTTTTTCTTGAACCCTATTGAATCGATTTGAAATATATCGTATCGAACCAAAAGTGCACTGTATCGAAGTATGCATCGTATCGTGTCCTATACATCGCGTTGTCTGTCTATCATATCGGCAAATTCTGAATGATATCCAGCCCTAGTTGTCCGTAGAAATGCAGTCTGATCGTATCTCAAAATGTCTTAAATAAGTTGTATTCAGTGGACTATTACATTACATTACCTACAGTGTGAGGCATCAAGATGATTACATAATAACTTTCCCATATCCTACTATTTTTTCCATCTTTTTATTTTTGTAATTATAGTCTCTATGAAGTTCGTGTTTATCTACTTTAGTGTTTCAAACTCACTTCAAAACATGCAATAATAATTTGATAATCAAATTCAGTTTCAGGCAAAATAAAATGAAATTATTATGTAACATTAGGGAAGTTCTGTTGTTTAAAAATGGCCAATTTAGTTTAACAAAATATTTTCCCCATTCAATACATATTTGTTTGATTGGGTTTGTCAGATATCTTCCACACATTTTGAATGCAAGCAGTCTCAAAGTCCCCGGTAATGAGAGAATCCAATTATAATTACTGAAAATGATTGGTTAAAATAATTACTGTTATTTTGATATTGCTTATGATTCAATTTAGAGCTCCAAATGTAATTAGTGTATCCAGAGGCACAGACAAACAGATCTGAACACTAATATTTGTTCCATTACAAATGTTCCAGTAAACAAAGTGATCTGCCTTTTGTATTGCTCTTACACCTGAAATTTAGATTAGATTTTCTTTTTTTAAATGTATTTTCCAATTCCAAAAAAGAAAACGCAGGGGGCACAATTGTGATCAAATAATTTCCATTTAATTTTGTAAATCTTATTGAATAGATTAATAATTAATAGAACAAAAGATTTTCTCAGATGATAAATTTCATTGAATATACATATGTTTTACTAGCTTATTACTACTAACCTTTAAATATATAGCATCTGACATTTAGTGTAGGTCCTGTACAGGTCAGGGAGGGCTTGGCCTTGTTTCCGAGGTCTGTCCCCTCGCCATGTGACATCATGTGCTTTCATGTGATACGCTGATCTGCTGCAAATCTGAAAGGCTTCCATTTGAAATTCCAATTTAATGGAATTTGTGCTGCAGAACAGAAAATTCAGTCAGCCATCGTGCAAGGAGGTATGCGGACAGAGCCGACTGAGCTCAAGTTTAACCCGGAATATACACAACATGACGGGAGCAAAACTTTCAGGATTACAGACATTTGGTGAGATAAAAGATTGTTTGTAAAGCCACAGCTAGCAGAAGCTGACTATTGTGTTGAAGATTGCAATTTAGCAGGGAGAGATGTGTGGACAGTTGTTTGTTTGGTGATTTGCTGAGCTAACTCTGGGGGATTTCCTAAGTTATCAATAAAGTTAAGAGGTTTTTGTTGACTAAAAATTCAGGCAAAATCAAAATATGGTACAACCAAATTCATTCATTTTGCTCCAAATAAGATAAGACTAGGGAGTGCTCACCATTGCCATGTGGACTGAAGACACTAATATTATTCTTGCTGATATTAAAGGGTTTTGTAGATCAAATTAATTAACATTTAGTCCTTAATTATAATATAAATTGTAGTTGCAAGAGGTAACTAAAGCCTTGGCAGTCTATAAAGTGTGTCGTGAATGTTGAGTTTACTCATATGACCGATAGGAGTGTGAACGTGCTTGGAGGAGAAAGCATTGTTGACTTTATGCTAACTAGAAACTACAAACTGGATAGTAGACTTTTTGTCACTAGAGGGATATTTGTTTAGCTGCCGCTTCACTTATGTAAGAACACTTATTTTCACTACTTAAATTACTTAAACTACCTTACTCTGTGCCTGTTCTATAGTAAGATGTTAATTTTGTTCCACCCGTGCTTACATTTGCCTGCTGTGTTTTTGCTCAAAGATTTGGTTTGGCCTATTTGTTCTAGGGATACATACAACTTTATAATTTACTTTAGAATATAATGATGACTGGTTTGCCTGTGGACCTGAAAATTATTCTTTAGTTGTTGCAAACCAAATGTAATTTTTCAATTTGTCAATATCACACATTTTCAGTAAACATGGAGCAGAGGATTGACTGTAAACCCCCGATTAAAAAGGTCCATCATTTACAATTTCAAATGATTAGATCTTGATGTGTTTAAAACTGGGATATTGTACAACCTTGTATTGTGATGGTAATATCATGATAATACAGCAGTGACTTTGATAGTGTTTGTTATATCCCTTGTCTTGTTTTACCTGTTTCAGCTCAGACATGAGTGGGGCCAGTAACACGCTGGCCAGGGAGTTTCTGACAGATGTACATCAGCTGTGCAGCGCGGTGGCCCAGAGGGCAGAGGCCCGGGACGAGGATGAAGAGGAGAGTCACATGGTTGCTTTGGGGGAGTACCTGGTTCGGGGGCGGGGCTTTTTGCTGCTCAGCACTCTGGACTCCATCATTGACCAGGTCAGTCACAAATCATTTACTGTAATGAGATATCATTGCAATATTTTACATTTTATTACTAAAACCAGTTGCCCACAATTGTCTTTATAATAGATGAGTTGATGAGAAATAAAATCACTTTATTATTTAGCCAATCACAGCACAGGGCAGGATTATGGGTTGGGTGTAAGCGAAAGGCAAACCAGAGCAAACATGGCAGCACTGGGGGATGTAGTTTGACTTATTTCACCAGAAAAACATGCTGAAGGAAAGTTACTTTTATCTCGACTGGATTTAAAACTGGATCAAAAGTACTACTTGTTCCACTGTTGCAGTGTTTCCCACAGAAAATAGGTTAGGCAAGGGTGATGCTGGTGAAAATGTGAGTGACTGTAGTTTTGTGATTCACGTTTGGAGGGATGGAGTCCAGGCAGGGGCCACTTGTTGTCAAGGCCTTAAGGCCTTAACCATAAAGCGCTACGGGAAACACTGTGTTGTGACACTGGATATTTGTCTGAATGTTCTACCTTTTCCTCATCACTTTTAGTGAAAACCATCCCAGATAATGTCTGTGAAGAAATAGAATCGAGAGTGCCACACATATCAATGTGGCTTCTGCTATTGTGTGCCTGTGCAAATTATTTCTAGTAATAACTTTTTTCTATCTATTTTGTATATTGTGTATGTCACACTCACTGACTATTTACAATAGCTCTTCAATATATTCAGTACAGCCAGTTTCCCATCAGCCCCTCTGACCTCAGCTGGCCTTAATCTCTGCCATCAAAAGGAAATTGCGCAGTGTTTGCTCAGAGCACATAGTTTAATCAAAAGCATGAGAATGACAATACAGTTCAGACATAAGGGTACAACAGTACAAATATACTTTATACCACTTCAGATCAGTTGTAAATTTGCATTGCATATTATTTTTATCTACTGACAAACTTAGCCAGGCCTGTCAAAATAATTACTAGATCGGCTTATCATTCAGTAGATTTTAGGTGAATGATATTTCTAGTGGGGAACTTTTTCTTGTGTCACACATATTTGTGACTCATTATAAATCTACTTGAATGTTTCTTTGTGTCATTCATTTGTTGCAGTTATTCTTTTATTATGAATTATAATGATCCTGCTTTCGAGTTATTGTATCAGTGGCAATCATCATTTATCATATTTTTGTGACGAGCCAGAAGAAGCACCAGATGGTCTGAAATCTGCTAATAATTTACTTTCCATACTTAAACCTTTAAAAATCTTTATATTTATATAATCCTGTGAAATGTGTAATCTCTAACACCTTCTTGTTTCATAACTAGAAATTTTTTTGCCTCTGCTCTAAAAATGAATGCTTGTTCTCTTTTCTGAACACCATTAAATGCAATTGCCATGCTTTGTATACACTTTAAGTTTGTAGCTGCTACAACAGCCTGAGCCTAACCATGCTCTGGTTTGTCAATGTCAACAGACCCGTACATCTGCTCACTATGTTGTTTTTTGTCTCGTCTTTCATTAAAGCAACATGATTTTGAGATGCTGTAAAATATGAAATAAAAACTAATCTAACCACATTTCACAAAAGGGCACAGAGAGTGATGGATAATACAGAATTACTTTTATAGCTTGTTTTTACATTTATAAGGCAGCAGCACATGTCAAGAGGTATATATAAAAATGCTTTGCCATTAGTCTGAAAAACAGGCTGAACTACTCTTCATGTAGGCTACTAGTCTATTGTCTATTAGCAACAGGTTAAGTACATGCCACTGACACAAAAAGAGGCTTGATTTTAAAATGTAATTTTTTTTGTTTTATGTTATGATTTAAAAAATCTATACTTACATTCACAGTTTGCAGAGTGGAAACCAGGTAGACTTAGAGCTCCAAATTTAGGTCTGTAATTTTAATTACAATAGCGTCACTATTTTTGTGGCTCATTATCTGTCTTGTGTACATATCTTTTGCAAAATGTTTCATTTTTTTCTTTTTTAATATCTCCTTATTGTTTCAGACTATTTATTGGAATTCATGTGAAGTTCATATTAAATCTTTGGTTTATTTTTTTTATTATTGGGTTTGGAGTACAAACTGGTCCAGATCCTTCTCAGAATGGATGATTTGACATAAAAGAAGTGGGTTATAGATTTCCATCTGTAATGTATTGCTTTGCGTTTTAGCTTATCCATGAGATTGATAGCTGCCTTTTCTCAGAAGCTGGACAAACAGAAATAAAATAAAAAGTGCATGGGCTTGTATTGTGCTATTTATTTGTAGCTCTAGATTTTAATGGTTTTGTATATTTAAAAAGGATTTGTACCTTGTTATTGTGTCAGTGCCATAAAGTAGATTCAGTATTATTGTTCATCACAATACATCTCTATAGCATTATATATTGTGCTTCAAAATTTGTTATCTGACATATCCAAATTTGTACTGTGACATATGCATGAAAGTTAGCAGTATTGGTGTGTTAGCAGTTAGCATGCTGCAGACAGAGGTCTATTGTGTCTCTATTAAAGGCACCAGGCTCTGACAGCTCCACTGCTCGTCTGCTTTACCCTGATGCTCTGAGTCCAGGCCTCTCACTGTGCTCAGTATTGATCCCTTCACTCATGTAACCAACAGGAGTAGGAGTTTAGGGTGAAGTGGAGGACCAAGCTTTTATCCTCAGTAGTTCACAATGCTTTGATGTTGAGATTGTGTGGGATGGCTGTGCAGTTTCAGAGCTCTGTATTCAACTAAACAAGGAAGGGGTGGGTGAGGTGATACATGGGTGATATATTGTCCTCATCATAATAGCTGTGTCCTAAATGTACTATTTAGTGCCTTTCAAGAAAGAGATTTACACTGCATTAGTCGGCTATAGACACAGCTGCCCTGGGGTAGAGTCAGAGAACTGAGGCTGCCATCAGCCCCTGCAACCATTGCCATCTGCTTTTTCACTGCATGCGTAAGCAAGACACTTCACTTCACATATGCTGCCTGTACCCAACAATAGCATGCACTAAAGCATTGCTGCCCCACTGTGGCACCTGGTATTCTCAGTGGTCTCCCATATTAACCAGGCTCAGCCCTTGTTATTATTTTTGATCTTGACTTCAACTCAAGCTTTTAAAATCCACAGCAAGGCCCACAAATGTATCTTAATATTGGTATCAGCAAATATTGGTTATTACCACAGCAGCAAGCCAAATACTGGATATTGGATATCGGTATCGGCTCAAAAATCCGTATCAGACCATCCCTAAATATTATTGTAAACCAATATCATACTATTATTATGCAGTTGAGAAGAAGTCAAGGATAAATTGTACCACAGATACAAAACACATGGTGATTATGTAATTTTATATTTAGAAAGTCTGTTTTTTACAGTAACCAAGTAATTTATTTTCTTCAGCAGGTTATCATTGTGCGTCAATGGAACACTTGAAAAGAGTTACATTTTATGTGGTGGTGGTGGTATTATATTTTAAGCAGCTAATTTATTTTGTACTAGATGGTTGTCTGCATTCGTGAAAGCAAAGTGGAGAAACAGCAGAATTTGAAATTGCTTTGCATAGCTCTAAATGGAGCCAAAGGAAGCTAGAGACTGTACAATTTACATTATACATCAAATATCTATGATTTGTTTTATATTCATCTGGCTAATAGAATATTTCTGCACAAATTAACTTTTAGAAAATTAGAACGGTAATGTGACAAGGTAATGTGGGTCTTCAAGGTTCTGGGTTTATTTAATTGAAACAGAAGCAGCAAAATGCTATGACAAAATATCTACTTGTTTTTGTTTACTGAAACCTATTTGCATTTTAAGAACCCTTACTGCTTTGAAAATATGCCCTAACCTGTAACAGTGGCAGAACTTCCAATTTGTTTTTATATTTAAGGTTAATTTCTTTTAATCTATTCACACTATTCACTGTGTGTTTTACATGGTGTGTATAAGCAGAATAGTGTGTACATTAACTCTAGGTAGTCCTAGGTAGTGCTTGTTATTTGTTATTTTATGTGCTTTGTGTTTATTGGAGCTCATTATGCTTTAAGGTAAATACGTTTACATTTGTACATTTTCTTTTTTTAACTCTAAATGGCAACAGAAGTCAGGTAATAGTTCTGTTACTAATGTTACTTGCTTCTGAAGAGTAATCAAAACATTTTCTTGAGCACTTTTTTTCAAGGGTACTTTAGCGCAGTTTTTTTCTAATTTGTGAAAAGTGAAAAATGCATATATTTTTATTCAAAATCCGTGAAATCCATCCATTAAATATGTACGTGAGTGGGGTTACAGGAGTGTTATCAAATGGCTGTCAATATTATAGTTTATACATTTTCTTTAGTAGTATTTTTCACTAATGTTGGGGCAAGTCTAGTATAACTTATCATACATTACACAGTCTATTTAAAAGGTTAACTTGGCTCACTATTCCAAAGCCCTATAGTTGATATGTTTTAATTCACACTTGTTGCAGGATGTTGATTGTTTTTAATTAGCACTTTGCAGAGCTGGTTCTCTCTGTGGTGAGGAATGCTCTGAATAGACTCGAGATCCTCACAGTCTGGGAAGTGTGGCTGTCAAACACACGCCACATTGCACACTGACACTGGCCTGGCTCTGCATCAGAAACTCACTCAGTGATTAAATAGAAAACCTTTTCATACCTAGCCTCCAAATGACGGCTAAGACATGTGTAGTAGTAGCTAGCAGCAGACTTACTGGTAATGTTATATGTGCGCATGTTATACCACTCAATCAGCAGAAGACAAACTAGTATAATTATATTGCAAAGTTTACCAATGAAACCACTGTAGAGCGTTTCTGGTAGGGATTAGTTATTGTTATCTGTTTTTTTTTTTTTAAATGTGCAGATATTTGGACCATTTTTTTTCCGCCCCCAGTTTCTACATGTCATTTGCAATTTGTCTTTATCAATACAAATATATAAATATAGCTGTATGCTTAGACAATCATGCAACAAATAATTTCTTATACCAGATATTTTGTTTGCGAAAAGTATTACATTATAACTATGACTTCATATTGGATAGATAGATGAGTATGGATTTTAAAAGCTTAATATCAGTATTGGCAAATTTTTGATATTTGCTGTAATTTACTGTGGCCATCATAGAGCAGTTTTGGGCTACTGCAAACTTAGTCTATAGTTGTTACTAGTTGTTCTGAACCAAAACAAACAATAAAAAACCTTAACACATGTACATCATGTGAAAGTCAAGGGTCCAATTTATATTATTTAGTCTTTTTAGATAAATAATGTGTTTTTTGAGTTTAACAAAATGTAAAATGCAAATACATATATGGATCACAGATCATAACTATATACCAGAACAAGGCATGTCTTCTTTGAAATGATGCTGTGTCGCTTATTTGATAATCCAAATATGACTGAGACATAATGTCCTGTGAGCGAGTGGTGGGAGTGACTTGCGGTAGCATCCAGCTGTGACCATACCACATCCATTTGGCGTTACCTCTCTCTCTCCCTCTCTCTGTGTGCCTCTCTCCCTCTTTTACCCCTTCTCCCTCTCTCACCCTCTTTTAACTTCCTCTCTCCACATTTGCCCCCCCCCTCTCTCTCTTAGGAGCTGACCTGTCGAGAGGAGCTGCTCACTCTACTGCTGTCACTGCTACCACTGGTCTGGAAGATCCCAGTTCAGGAGGAAAAAGCCCCAGGTTAGTGCTTTATAGCAACCGATAGAAATAATATGGATTATAACAGTGCATACCTCCACCCATCTGGCTGATGAGAAGCATTGTTACTATTGGAGGTATCAGAGGTTGTGATTTGACATGTTTCATTTACGACCGTGGACTCTTCCTGTCTCATTATAGATCATTAATGTCTTGGTCTAGATCACAGGTGTCAAACATGCGGCCCGGGGGCCAGATCCGGCCCTCCAATACTTTTAATCTGGCCCTCGGCTGATTTTCTAATAAAATATTTTAATTCTATTTTTTATTAAAATATTGTTAATTTTCTGTGGTGCTTATCATAGCAGCGTCTCCAGCTTCTCTGTACGTGGCCCTTCCCACCAGAGCAGCACAAATGAAGACTTGTCTCTTTCCAAACACTCTTAAAGGACGATCGTTTTGACTGTTGACCGTGACACCCTCATCAGCAAAATGTCAAAAATGAGAAAAGTGGAGGCGAGTGCAGGATTTTCCAAGAAAATTTTACTTATTCCTATATATACAAGTTAATGTTAAACAATTTCATGTTAAAACATTGTGTTAAAATTTTATTTTTCTTAAAGTTTCAGGTTGTTCATAATATTATAATATTTTGTAAAAGAAAGAGTTCATCATTTAAAAAATATTTCTGTATTATATTTGTGTTTCTCTGCACAAATATTTGAAATTATTGTTATTTTTGGGGTTTATATGACATGAGTTTTCTGATCCGGCCCCTTTGGGATCAAAGTCAGTTGGATACGGCCCCTGGACCAAAATGAGTTTGACACCCCTAGTCTAGATTATGAAAGCTTTGTGCTAAATTTTATTTTTATTTTTTTAAGATATTTGGCTCATAAAAAAGGATATTTTGCACAAAAATTATAACTAAATAGAGTTTACATCTGCAGTCCATGATTGCCATGTTACACACAATTACAAAATTATTATCAATTCAAATTCTCACAGATAAATAACAAGGCATCAGAAAAAGTATTAACTTAAAATCATTACATTTGTCACTTATAAAAGGTATTTTGGTGCTTGGTGGCATTACTAAATTTTTAAAAGCTAAATGCTTTTTTCTTTTTTTTCCCCCCTCAATAAATTTAACGAATATTGTGTGCATTTTGGTGTTGCATCACATTACAACTAGTACTGCTGTGTTAATGGGATCCTGATTAATCCTGTCTAAACCTGTATTTTGGCAGGTTAGCTTTGGCTGTTGCAGGGCCCTGTGACCTTAGAATGACACTGGTATTTAGTACATTACCGTTATCTTTTCTAACATAGAGCCTAGACATTTTTACTTTAATTAATTCTTCCGAACTGAGAAAGTCTTAACAAACAATGAAGTGCACCTGACATGGATTCCTCTAGTGAAAAGTGTTTCAAAATATAAATTATGATTTAAGAGGATTTGAAATGACTGTAGGAGTAACAGTATTCTTTATTTCAACAGATTTCACGCTGCCATCTTTACTGGAGGTGTTCCTGAACTGGGAGGTAAAGGCCGTACCTCTCAGAGTGGGACAGAAGGCTGGGACAGATGAGCAGACGCCGGGGAGGAGACCGCGAGTGTCCAGTGGTACATGGAAGTCCCGCCGCTCACGCAGGACCGCCCAAAGATACTCTGTGAAAGATGCTCGCAAATCCCAAGTGTCGACGTCCGATTCTGAAGCCAACTCTGAAGACAGGCCTGTCCCGGGACCAGGGGGTGTGAGGAGCAGGAGACCCCATGGAACCACGTTAAGAGTCAGCTGTCAGCATCACAGATCTGAGCCACAAACCCACACCACAACATCCAACGCGAGCACCATCACCGACAACATGAGTGCCCCCTACCACCATCCCCGGACCACCGCATCCCAGACAGACACAGAAACTCTCACAGATCCCGCAGCCATCTCCATTTTCAACCGAATGGAGAACTCTCCATTTGACCTGTGCCACGTGCTGCTGTCCCTCCTGGAGAAGGTCTGCAAGTTTGACATGAGCATCAACCACAACCCCGGCCTGGCGGTCAGCGTAGTGCCTACTCTGACGGAGATCCTGACAGAGTTTGGGGAGTGCTGTGGGGGGGGCATGGTGGGAGCTGGGGCAGAGGAGCTGGCAGGGGGCTGGACAGAGGAGCCCATAGCTCTGGTACAGAGGATGCTCCTGCGCACCATTCTGCACCTGATGTCTGTGGATGTGAGTCAGAGCGAAACCCTCCCTGACAGTCTACGGCGCAGCCTCACTGACCTACTTCGTGCCACGCTCAAAATCAGGAGCTGTTTAGACCGGCAAACCAATCCCTTTGCCCCTCGCCCCAAGAAGACCCTGCAGGAAGTCCAGGACGACTTCTCCTTCTCACGGTATCGCCACAGGGCACTGCTCCTGCCTGAACTGCTGGAGGGGGTCTTGCAGGTGCTGCTGGGCTGCTTGCAGGCCTCCACTCCGAACCCCTTCTTCTTCAGCCAGGCTCTGGAGCTTATCCACGAGTTTGTGCAACACCGTGGCCTGGAGCTGTTTGAGGCCACAGTGTTGCGTTTGGAGGGCCTGTGCCGGGCACGGGACTCTGAGATCGGAGGAGAGGCAGCAGAGCGACTGCGCGGCCTCATCGCTGGTGTGTTTAAGATCATTAGTGCTGTGAAGAAGGCCAAGTCTGAGCAGCTGCATCAGTCAGTCTGTGCCCGGAGACGCCATCGTCGCTGCGAGTACTCACATTTTCTGCATCACCACAGAGACTTGTCAGGTCTGCCTGTCTCAGCCTTTAAGCAGGGGGCCAGACGGAACCCCTTTGAGGAGGACGGGGACGGGAAAGAAGGAGAGGGGGACACGGGGAGGTACCCAGAGCGCTGTTGCTGTCTAGCTGCCTGTGCTCATCAGTGCCTGCGACTGCTACAGCGACTCTCTCCGAGCGGGCCAGCCGTTCTACAGGTGCTGGCTGGGGTCCAGGCAGTGGGCATCTGCTGCTGTATGGACCCCCGGTCTGTGGTCGGACCACTGCTCCACGCCTTCAAAGCTCCAGGTTTGCGCAGTTACCAGTCCCATGTCCTGAGTGTTTTGGGCCGGCTGATCTTGGACCAGTTGGGAGGGGGACAGCCCTCGGAGAAGGCCAAACTAGCTTCCTGTAACATCTGCACTCTGGACAGCAGCCAGCTGCCCGGGTTGGAGGAGACCCTCCAGCAGGGGGAGCACACAGTGTCCAGTGGGCTGTGTTACCGCTCTCAGGGGATCCTGCCCAGTGGAGGAGGCACTGAGGACATGCTGTGGAAGTGGGATGCGCTGCAGGCCTATCAGGAGCTGGTGTTTGGGGAAGACTGGACTCTCAGCCAGCAGGTGGCGGGCCACGTGTGTCACCTAACTCTGCGTGGCAATGCCATCGTGCAGTGGCAGCTGTACACTCACATCTTTAACCCAGTTCTCCAGAGAGGGGTGGAGCTCGCCCATCATGCGCAGCAACTGGGTGTGTCGACTGTCTGCACCCAGGTTTGCACCTACCACACACACTGCCTGCCCATCGAGGTGCTGCTAGTGTACCTGCAGACTCTGCCCACCCTGCTCAAGTCCAGGTGAGATATCCGACCACATATTCATACACAGACAAAATGTCTGTCACTAATACAAGTGACATTTAAATGACAAACACAGAACAACCCCCTTCATTTTGCCTGAAAGGTTAGAACAAGAAAGCTGTGAGAGACATTTCAATTCAATTAAAAATTAAATGAACATCCAATCCCGAGCCAGCCCTCTTGCATAACTCAAACTCATTAAAACTGCTCTGTGTGTACTGTTGATATCCACTTACAGTAAATCCACCTTGGACAGTGTCAGTGTCATTAGAGCCATCTCTGCAGCTCATTGCTAATTAATGCCAGTCAATAATTGATTGCAGTCGTGGACGGTGATAGGGGGACCTGAACTGATTATGTAAGTCCCAATAGTTACAGGTCTTAGACATATCACTTTGAAATAGTTGTGTTAGTTCCTCTGGTTGGACGCTGAATGCTTTTTTAATATATGGCTATAAAATTGTGCATGAGAAAATCTGGTACCTTTATGCCCTGCTGTCCTGACAACACTCTGTCAGCTGTAGTTTCATGATCTAAATTTAGTGGGTCAGTGCTTGGACATCTGAAGTCTTCAAGGGAATTTTTCGAAAGAGGAAAAGTAATTATTTGCTTGAACTTTGTCTCATCTAAGTTCTTCAAATGTAGCAGTTCTTAAACGTCTATAGGACATGTGATATGACAGCATGATACTTCATAATGTGTAGTTTATCAGGTATTGAATTTTATTTATGATTTATGTACTAATACATTTGTCCTTTTTATTTATTTAGTTTAAAAAAAAAAACAGTTTTCTATCATAAACATTTGCTTACCACAAAAGGACAAAAAATATTATGTATTCATGTTCTGTATTTTTGTCATAGCACCATCTGTTCAAGACTACATTATTGCCAGTAACAAGACTGGACCACTGTGAGAACTGTTTGAACAAATGTGCCTCGCAAAAACAAGACTAAACTAAAAATACTAAACAGTAACACAACAGTAAACATAAACACATTTATATATTTGTCCTTGTTTTATGTTTGTTATGTATGTTATGTATTTTATATGTTATAGTCTTTAAATGTGCTGCATAAATTTATTCAATATTATTTTTAACAGGGTGATTCGGGACCTCTTTGTGAGCTGTAATGGCCTGAACCAGGTGACTGAGTTGGTGTACTTGGATCAGACCCGTTCTTTGGCTCTGAAAGTGTTCGAAACTCTGATCATCGGTATTGGGCATAAGCAGGCTGAAGGGGTGCTTCAGGAGCTGGAGAACGCCGACGCAGAGGAGAGAGAGGCTGTTTTCGCTTTGGCCGAAGAATTGGGGTCCCGAGGGGCTGGCGAGGGTCCGCAAAGTCTTAGTAAATTTTATGAGGGGCTAAAAGAAGCTTATCCCAGTCATAAAAACAGGAGCGTTCAAGGGCGCGGTCCAGGACGTAGTCGTGCAGAGACACACTTACATGTTATCAATCTATTCCTATGTTTAGCGTTTCTATGTGTAAGCAAGGAGGCTGATTCAGATCGAGACTCGGCTAACGATTCAGAGGACACTTCTGGATATGATAGTACCGCTAGTGAACCTCTAGGGGGCAGACTTCCATACCTGTCTCCAGATAGCGTGGCTCTACCTTCCAAAGAGCAGGTGCGCAGGGCTGCCGACGTGTGGTCCGTGTGCAGATGGATCTACTTAACTAGCCCCTTGTTCCAAAGACAGTTTTTCCGATTAGGGGGACTAGACATTTGCCTACGTCTCATGGCTATGGTTATCCAGAAGCTCTCATGCAAGACCAAAGATGGGAAAGCCAAAAAGAAACGCGACGGGAAGAGTAAATGTAGTCCGGAGTCCACTGCTCCTAACCTTGTGGTGGGGCAGGAGGAGGCAGAGGTCCACAGCCCAGCACACATTGAGGGGAAGGCCAAAGACCCAGCCAGAAAACTGGAGGAAGAGTGGCAACTTCAGAGCATACGGCTCCTCGAAGCACTGTTGGCCATTTGTCTGCACAGCGCAAACACTGCCCTGCAGAGAGTGGAGCCTGAGCTGTCTTTCCAGGTAGGTCCAAATTCAAATCCACTTTATTTATATAGCTCTTTTTATAAACAAGCCACATTGCTGTAGACAGAGCACAATTAAAACAGAAAATATATCTCACTAATCATAAAACAATAAAACCAGCCATATCAAACAAATACTAAATCATAAAAATTGCAGTACAATAAGACCAATAAAATAAAAATAAATAAACACTACTGAGGAGTGCACACTTAGCAAAAAGCTAGAGGATGAATGTCAAGCCATAAATCTGTTATATCTGTTAACTATTATATATTTGGTGCCTTCTACCATGTTATAACAATGTTCCGTCATCAAAAAGATTTTTTAGATGTCGTCTGTGCATGTTTAAGTATTTTAGCGATATTTACTGGGTCCTTTTCAAACCCGTCTTACAGTTAGCTGTAATATTTGTGCAATGCTCCACCCACAAGCCTACATCATCCATGCCACCACATGACAATACTCCATAACTATGGAAAAGCATGATATTAAAAAAACACACTACGGCTTTACAAACTTGATGTGATGTGTGCAGTTGTTTTCTTTAATGCCAATTGTGTAGCCTGAGTGACTTTTGAGTTGGGGTGTCAAACATGAAATTGAAACTTATAAAACATGCTAATATGTTGTTTTTGGAGAATTTGGCATTTTCAAAACAAAAAAGGTAACATGATCTAAATATGTTATGTGTTAGCAGTTAATACCAGATAAAAGTAAAACAGCCTCTCTTTTTGCAAAAATGAAAAAAATACTGTACACTTATTTAGTCTATGACCATTTACCATAGTCATCATTTCAGAATTGGATACCTTGTAACCTAATACATGCATACACACCTTGTTATTTATATTTATAAGGATAAAAATACAACAGTTATATACTTGATTATAGTGTAAATAATGTGTCTCTTTATCTTTGTTTTCAGCTACAATCTGTTGAAGAGACTCTGTCCGAGGTGAGAGACCAGTTGGCTCGTTCAGGAGTAGTGAACTCTGACCTCGCCATCCCACTGTTCAACTCCCTTCTGAGGGTCGCTTTAGCCGAGGTCTCCCCCTCCCCAGACCCACCCGAGGAGAAACCAGAGAAGGTAAGGCCTGTGTTACTTCTATAATCATCTTATCTTTATCTTATTTAACTCTTTTTAAGCAATACTTTTGCCTATTTATTCCTATCTGTAGATTTCTGATCAGAATGATGAAAAATTAAGACTGTTTCCATTTAAAAATTAAAATGTTGCATATAATATGGCACTTTGGTTTCAGCTTCCTATCTTTTGTGTTTTTTAAAGATCGAAGAGATCTGATTAAAATTGTTCCATTTGTCTTACATTTTTAGGTCGCCACTGCCCCCTAAAGTGCAGAAAAACTCATTTCATATTAGCCTTAGACAGTTTTTGTTTGATATACTGAACAATTTAGCCTGGTTTGGGACTAACACACATACTGTTTTCTTGTAACCTCTTTGCCTGAGTTATTTATTGTAAATACAATAACCAATCAATATTTTTTGTAATATCCCAGTTTTACATTTGTCTCTGGCTTTATTCATGTATGAAGCTCAGTCTAGTAATAACATGACACCTCACGCTATGTCCCTGTGACACTCTTCATCCTCCCCTGTCCATTCAGATACACTGCCTTTGTCTATTGATTACATTGACGTAGTCAGTGTTAAGTATTCTCTTTGTATCTATGCCTGACAAAATATAATGAGAAGTGCTGTTTATCGAGACACAACCAGCACAAACAAAAGAAAGCTTTTTCCATTGAATCGGTTGTGTGTACTTGGCGACCTTCACAATGCGTTGCTAAGAAGCCATTATCTGTCTGATGTACAGAACAGCAGCAGAGCTAAATAATGTCAGGCTTTCTTTAGGGCTAATAGGGACTGTGCACCTCCTACATGCATACACAGTTCAAGCAGCTGCTTTGCCTTGTGGGTTTGTATCGACTAATGACTCATGACCACTACAGTGAGAAGAAAGCAACTGTGGTGTTTTACAATAGGTTTAGAAGACCACTGGACCTGTGCTAGTCTTTCTTTCTTTACCTAGTTGTACTTAAACAAAGCTATTTCAAAATCATGATTGTCCCATTGGTCATGTTTTTAACACAAATTTTAGAGAAAGAACACAACCTTTTACCCTTATAAAATATGATAGCATTGTCTCAATACTAAAATTTAAACTCAATTTTGACATTAAACAGACTTGATACTCAATATCCATTTTGATACCACAATAATAATACAAACACAAATTTTAAAACAATATAATGTAACACAATATGACCATGTTTTGAAATGGAACATTCTGTAACTATTCATTACAGATCAATTTATTCCCGTTTATTTGAGCTTTTCAATAAAATATATACTTATCCAAATTACTTACTATATGAGTTTTTGACAACTCTCAACCACTGGCTTAGTCAGTCAATTTTCCAGTCTATTAAGACACCCCAATGTACAATTGCAATGAAAATATAATTTAGCAAAAGAGTATACAGTTGTAATATCCTATCCTATATACATGTGCTTAAAACCGTTTCTATTTTTATTCTACACAGAGAGTGCTGTTTATTACTACAACCTGTAAGATGGTGTGTAGCTTTTAATTAATATCTGATTTGTAGTTGTAAACTTGGTAATAATGACACTTCAGAAAGGCCTCAAACTGACTGCAACTCCCATGTTGTGAACAAACCATGTAGACAAACTTTAATTAGGATATTATTGACACTGCTCTAATAGATACAAGAGGTCAGTGAGTTATTTCCATACATTATCTTGTCGTTTCGGCTGTATTCACTCAATTTACCAGTTAATTAGCTGGTGACGTCTCCTCCTCTCTCCTCCTGTCTCCTCATTATGTTTTCCATTCAAGTCTTAAAATGCCTGTCTGCCTAATCCTGTTCGTACATTAGAGGATTTACCTTTTATATAATAGAGTTACCTATTTCCTAACAGCTAATGTTTTTCTCAATGAGCCCTTTAGAGTGTGGTATTCACTTTATATATCACTTTTAGACTACTTGTTATTCTGTCAGTGTTAAATAACCTATTCTTGTTTGAAAAGGGTGTATAGTGTAGTGCTACTAGTATTTTTTTTTTTTTCACATTTGCTTTGAGTATGTAAGTGTTTGCTATGACTGGCTTTACTTCCACACATCAAGGAACTGCCTGTGTGAGTGTGAGTCAGCTGAGAAACGTCTTATGACCAAAATCTTGTACTTTTTCCCCTCTTACTTGAAAACATTTAGTCTGCAATTGATTTGCAGCATTAGTGGTCAGACCTCAGCTTGTCTCACACATTCTTGTCAAACTTTTTATTAATTTTAGTCTTTTTGTTCTACCAAGATATGGGTGAGTAGATGTTGCAAAACCGTTTTGATACAGAGTTTCCTGTTTTTGAGTTTTTGTTTTATGTTGTCAGAAGTTGCAGGTCCTGGTGGAGGGGGTGGTCCCAGCGGGGGATCTGTCTGAAGAGGTAGATGAGGTGCAAAGCTGCGGAGTGAAGCCCCCCGGAGAGGAGGAGGGCTACGACGCAGACAGCGAAAGCAACCCAGAGGACATGTCCCGCCAGGAAGAGGGTAGGTCCACTCCAAACAATTTTAACATGCTACAATGCACACTAACTTACATCCCCTCCCTCTCTCTGGCCACTGTTAACCTCTCTAAGCTGAACATGGGTAGCCAATGTTTAACTATTGTCATTTTAAGTCTGCTTCATTTACTGTTCTCTGCAATTCTTTCTTTGCTTTTGTCTCTTTTTGTTTAATTATATTTAAGTATAATTTTATTTTGAATTCATTTTCATCTCAAGCGTTTTACTTTGCCAAATGCAGCATTTTTTACACAATTTGCAAATATTTCTTTAAGGTTGCACTATGTAACTTTTATGGCTGTCTGTTTCTTTCAATTAATGCAGTTGCTTTACTTGAAATGTTCCATCATATGGCATTGAACTATCTAGCCTGCACTGATTAAATTTTAGGTGTTTAGGTGTAGGTCAGTTATTAGGTCAGTTATCAATTATAATTAATTATTATACTTTCTGGCTTGCCTATCCACATATCTTACCCGTAACTTGGCCTGATGGAGTCACCTGCTTGTGTTGGATGAAGGTTTAATAAAATACTGTGGAACATTCCAGTAACTACGCACATAATTTCTTTCATGTTAAATGCACAGCTCTGACAATTCTTTCTTCAACTATTTTCTGCTTTTGTTAAGTGAAGAACATTTTCTTTTTTTTTTCACAGACTTTCATTTTAGAATTACTCAAAAGCTTTCAACACATCACTTCACACAAACGAGCTACTTTCTCTTTGACTCCTATTAACCTCAGCAGAGTACACACAAACTGAGCCTGTAGTGCAATATCAATAGTAATTTCATAATGTATAGCTTTTTTGTACATACTTTTTTATTCAAATGGATATTGCTTTGCCTGAAATGTACTTGCTTTTTAGTGTTTTTGTGCTCAAAAATACCTTCTGATACCTTTAGTGGTCTCGCCTTTCCAAAGATTCGAGTTGTAACTTTCCCTTTTGGCGTCACATGCTTGTTTCCGTGAAGGTGAATAAGTTTAAAGGAACATTCCAAACAAAGCCATAGCGCATCAATGAAGAAATGTTACATACTGCACCTTTACTTACTCTAGATTAACTAACTTTAAAATGTTACTATTCAGTTAGTCAGCTAGTCAAATGTGTATAACTATTGTGCCTTTATAGTAACAAAGAAAGGTCACAACATTTCAGCTTTCATTCAGAAACCTTTTTCAATTCTGAGGCAATTCTGTGGCAAAGGCAACTTGACAACTTCTTGAAACCTTTTGTTACGTTTGAACAAGCCTGGATGACTGAGAGATTACAACGGCTTTGTACCTCTTTTCTTTTCCTTTTGTTGTTGTTTGTGAGAGAATACAAATAGATATTTCATTGTTGTGTACATCATACCTCATATAAAATTACTTTTGGTGTATTTTTTGATTATTCCAATATTTAATACTTGCTAGCCTGATATAATTTTTAATTTTAAAAGCGCACTATGAAAGTTTCTCGGTGGAGGATCTGAAGCTTTCTATTGTTCATGGAGATGTTGTTTTGCCTGGAATCATAAAATAGCATACAAGTAAGCAAGTAAGTGACTGTATGGAGATTTTTTTGTCAATAAGGATGTATGTAATTGAGTAAATGTGAGGCAAAGCAATTACATTTTCATGAGACAACCATGTGATGTACCCTATACACCAGAAAAGTTACATAGTGTACATCTTTAACTTCCCCAAATCCCACTTTCAGCATTTACCAATTTATTCAGTTTGTCCCTTTCTGCAAATATCCCTAATACTAAACGTCAGCACACTAAAGCCTGTTTGATGGAGAGGCCATATTTTTGCATCAGCTCCAAACTCAGTGATTTATTGTTGGGAAACCGAGAGTGTTTACTTCTCCCACTCTCCCATTTATCATTCACTGTTTTGGGCCTTGATGCATTTTTTGGCATGCAGTGGAAAATTACTAGATTTTGTGCATTGTTCACTTTTGCTGTATCATTGGTGGTTCAACACTTGTGCAAACCTTGCTTCCTCACATTCTCTGGTGTGGTAGATGTTTTGCAATTTATGATCTTGTTGTTGACATTCTCTTTGACAAGGCAGAATCGGCTACTTCTATCTGATCTCTCATGTGCTGCTACTGGTTATGAATTTGACCTTATGAGACCCTTTCATTCAGAATAGAGCCATTGTTTGATGTTTTACAGCTGTGAGCTGCTCTGTATTGACTCATGAGCCACATCTTGTGACTTTTACGTCTACATCAGGTGAAGACTTGCTGGATAATTGTCGTCCTGTGCATAAGTAACATCTGTACTGTAACTAATGCGGCTCTTATACTATTTCTTTGTGACTGCTATCAGAAACTTGGTTGTGTAAGATTTATAAAATTTTATGGATTGTAAAATGCCAATTTTAAACATAACAAAAACATAACTGTGGGTGTTAGTCAATGTTGCTTTTTCTTTATGGACATGGGCTTTATGAGAAGTTTTACCCAAAATTGATGTATGCTTTTCTATATAATGTTGATGTAGGTTGGTTGTGACTTAACTTTAAGTGCATATAACAGGTTAGACTACAAATTTTTCAAACACATAGTTAATGTCATTAAATTTTGTCTAGTTATTTTATAGTTTTGTAATTTTGGTAAAGGTCATAAATAATTTTACTTCCTGGTTCGACACAGAGAGCAGATATGTTACCTGGCTACCGCAACACAACATAATTGATGACATTATTAGAGAGATTGCATTTTACAAATCACTACTACTTCATGTATTCTCCAACTTTTTATTTTCTATATTTCTTCACAAACTGCCACTTAAGTGATGTAAAACAAATGATGAATATTTACCTTATATACTGTCTAACAAAACCAAACAATGATCAGAAAAATATACAAATCTGTCAAACACATTTTGGATTTTTGTGAACGGTTTAATCTCTATTTTATCCCAGTTTAAACACTCATTATTGTTATCAAATTATTAACCCAAACAACAATCATAAAATATACTACAATAAATATACTAGCATCACTTTATAACAACCAATATTAAAACGACATATCTGGATAGATTATAACATTACAATTATGGTTTAATTTAAAATGGTTTATATTGAAATTAACTATTAAATTGCATATATTAGTAATACTTTAACCAAATTACATCTTATGTTAATCATTATGATTCATAATAATGGTAAAATTTTTCATATGGATAATTTTATTATCTCAATTAGCAATACATTTACAGTATATTAGAGCATTATCTGTAAACAGTGTGTTCTACCGTTTCTACTCTATCCATTCTCAAATTACAGACAATTAGACAATTAGATTGAAATTAATATATAATTAATTAACTTAGTACATTTTGCTCAGGTTTCCTCTTTGTAATATAGTGGACTCTTCTTTATTAGCTGTGGACTGCATTTACAGAGTGTCTGATAAATTAAAGTACGTCCAAGAAGCTGAGAGCGAGCCACTGTTATTCCATGTAAATCATATGGGGACTCCCCTCCTGCTCTGCTCCTGAGCTTTTGACTGGTTTAATTCACTTTTATGAGCTGTCTTGGTGATGGAAAGAAATAGCTATAGCTTGAGAAGCACTTGGATCATCAAATATTTTAATCAACGTAGCTTTTTAGTGTATCTTTTTCATGGTGTAAGCTGATTTTTCCATGTTATTTATGTTGCTATGTTTTAAGTGGTTTTCATTGTGTTGTTTTTTTGTAGGGTTGAAAGTGGAGTCTACAGCACTACATGAGTTGGGGTCCGTGGTGGAGGGGGGTAGGAGAGGGGTCTTGCTGTTCCCAGAGATCTGCACCATGGAGTTGCAGTTACTGGCCTCGGGCTCTCCAGACCTGGACGTCCTGAGCCATGTGTTTCACAGTCTGCTCGGGGCAGTCCATGCCAACCGCCGCAACGCTGCTCTGCTCTACGACCAGGTTAGACTGACTTGTACTTTTACTAATGGGCCATATAGTATTTTTATCAGATTAATAATAATTTGTGTTAATAATTTTAACTCTAGAATGTGATGAAAGGAAAATTAATACAAAAAATAACATTATTCCGGTATTAGTAATATTATTTATGGTGTGGCATGTTATTTATGAAGTATTAGAAGAAAAAAAATAAATGTACAGTTGTTGAGTAAATTAATTATGCTGCTATATTTATCAGACATGCATATTTAAGGTGCACTATGCTGCTTTTATGCTCAGGGGTCATCCACCTGCTTGTCTCTGCAGCAATTTTAATGCTTTGCCAGGAATCACTCAATCAGTATCACTTTATATGTCCCTGAGAGGCAACTTAAGCACATTAAGCAGTAAAACACAATAATAAAAAGCTCAAACAAAAGTGTCAGTGCAGCTGAACAGGTAGAGTCATCAGATCCTGTGTCAGGGCAATAGCTGCCCTCAGGACAAAAGTGTCCCTCCTCCGTGTCCTCTGTGTCCTGCAACACATCATCACAGCAATGTCCAGAGGGAGCCAGGTGAAGTCTTGAGACACAACAGGAAAGCGTCTCCTAAGTCTCACTCTCACTCCAGTCCACAGTATGGCATTAAATGTATCCATCTTGCATTTATTCAGTTCCCTTGGGAGACATACATGCTTACTGTGAGCAGGCTGTCTTTTCAAAGAGCTGACCTTTACTACCTTGGCCTGGTGGTGTGGTTGGCATCTCTCCAAGGAGTTTAAGGCCCTACTGTGAAACGGTCAATCAAAACAATAACATCTCCATGGAAACAAGCAGGTGGCTGACCCTTCACCGGCAAAGTCACATAGTGCACCTTTAACAATAGTAATTTGGCCTTTCCCCATATCAAAAGGCCTTAAAACGTTGTGATGACTTTTGAAAACAAGTAGCTGATACACTGTGGTTATGTAATCATTCTGTTATCGGCTGTTGCGTAAATTACTCCATGTTGTTGTTTTTCTTTAATGCAGGGAGGAGTTAAAATCATCCTGTCTGGCTTTCACAACATCCTTTGTCAAACAGAACCAAGTTTTAAAGGTATACATCTGCAGTATTTACACTGTTGGTATTGCTTCATGGTGTGCATAGGTAGATAAATATGAAGAACACTTGACTGAAGTTAATTAATGCATTGTAGTATTGACTTATAATTACTTGCTTAGTTTAGATAAGCTTTCTATGTTTTTGAAATTGTTCACATATCGTGGTATTTTACAACATTTTATTTACATTATGTCAATAAAGCAGGATTTTTTTCACCTTCTAATGTAACTGTTGCAGTTTTATGGAATTACATATCCCTAGATTTTGAAATTATTATGCTGTAAATTAATGAACAAACATTAATTTAGTATTTCTCCTAGTGAGTTCAACTTGTCCACTTTTACGCTAAACCTGGATTTTTTTGTGTCTTTCTTCTTATTATCTTATCCACCTAATAGAATAAAAGAAAGTCAGTCTACCTTATAAATTACTTTTACTACATTAGGTTGGTTCTAAAATTAGCCAGATGTCTGTGCAGTTATTGCATGTACTAGCACAACTTAGCTACTGTGCCAAACATTATAGTGGAAGTGTTATCAAAATTATATTCAGGTGGTTTTAAATTATGTTTACCTTCTTGCTCTCAGCAGTAATAGCTATTGTTTCTTGGCCAGTGGTGTTTTAATGTGACTTGTTTACGTAACCGTCTGTTGTTCGTGGTTATTTTTTATTTTTCCAGATTGTCAGACTGTCCTGGTGGAGCTGCTCGTGTCCATGGTGACCCAGAGAATCACAGCGGAAGAACTGGCTTTATTGATTCGACTGTTCCTGGAGAAGACCCCACCCACAGTAAATACACTTATTATGTCTCACTCCACAAACACTGCTATGTTAACTCACTCTGTTGACTCTGAGGCCAAGTGAGGACTGGAATATAGGAGTACATAGCATAGAGACAGTCGGCGTGTGAGAGAAAAACACACTAATAGAAGGTTTAAACTCCTCTGAGGGGCAAAAACAAAAGTACTAATAATAACTACTGCTTCATCTCCCACTGCTAAACAAATAATGCAGACTTTGAGATTTATGTTACCAAATACAGATATGAAGACATGGAGAAATGCAAGTGGTCCAATGACCCAAATTTATACATCTAAAAATGTTAACTGGGCCTGTGGGCTACATGCTACTGTGATGCTAGACTGCCTGCACTATTTTAACATCCACAGAACAATCAGTTTTGTGTTTTTGTTTTTTTCTGGGGCAGCACCATGTCAGCAACATCAGTTAAGCTTCAGTTGTGACTCAGCATAGACTTAGATGCCTAAATACACAAAATCTGTCTAGAAATGTCTTTAAAAGAGAAAGAAGTTAGTTGATATCAAGGAGAAATTGCGAAATGTGTTTTTGTGTTTGTTGGAAAAAGCAGCTTAAATAAAGTGACAAAATCGCTGTGGATCCTTGAGAAAATGCTAAATGAGGGATTATTATCATGATAAGTGTATTAACAGAAAGTTATCAGTACTTGGCTGAGTTTATTTGATTCTTCCAATATACCAATTTATGTGTACAATCACTACCCTTACGATGTATTGTTTTTTACATTGTTCATTCTCGTACCTCATTAACACATGACGGTCCCTTGTGCCGACTTCATTCTCAGAACAAGTAGTGTCAGGCTATGCAGAAAGAATGTGATGAACTGAAAACTTCAACAAGATCTGTCATGCAACATTAATGACCTTTTCTTGGAAATATTTCTCCTGAAGGCCATAGAGGAGTTTGTGTCAGACCATGTGAAAGTAAAGACATGTGACCTCTACCTCTCATCACTCACAAATGCTGACTTCTTGGCAGCACTGCGATTGATTTCTGTTTATTTGCTAAACATATGATTGTCTTTATAAGCCTATTTGTTATTTTCTGGCAGCATTAGATTGGTTACATTTCTACCCCAATGTACAGCTCTAAAAATAAGTCTAAAAGTGTTTGTGTGGTTTTCAACATCATGACATTAAACTTGTTCAGTTTGCACATATTGAATTAACTTGAAAAACATAAATTCTTAATGGGGATGGGTTTGCCTTTCCACAGATCTGAGTTGTAACTTAGTCTGATGTCACCTGCTTGAGATAAAGATAAACAGCCTTTATTTGTCGGTCACCTGTGCTTCCTGAAGTGTTTCCATTACTTTTAGTTTTCACTTTCATTTATTTTCATACTCAAATGTATCCTGTATTTTATTATGTCGTTTTTGGCAGCAGCAATCTCCCTCACATCTCCCTTTTATCGTTCCCTACAGGAAATTTTGCTAAAAGGTATTCAGCAGATCGTAGAGGCCAACATCGACGTGGACCCTCTGCACTTCCTGACATTTCCCATAATCCTTGGGGCAGTGACTCCTGGTGGGATTTCCCCCGGCGTCAGACAGAATGGCTCGGCTGGGGGCAAAAGTGTAGGTTTGCTGTGGAAGGGTAAACTGTCTCCGGGGCGACGAGAGGGGGAGGGGGACTTTCGGATGACAACTGTACACACCTCTCCGTGGCACGCTGCCCCACTGCACCTGCCTCTCGTGGGGCAGAACTGCTGGCCTCACATGGCGTCTGGGTTCAGCGCCTCCATGTGGGTGAGAGTGGTCGAATCGGAAGACAAAGAGAATGAGAAAGACACAGGTGAGAGTAAAAAATGTACTGGGTTTGTGAATCAATAGATAAAGATCTTGAATCTACAGACACACTCCTTCAATTGTATTTTTGATAGTTCCAGTTATTTTCAAATGCCTCTTTTCTACTTCTATTTTTTCTATTTCTATACTTCTACTTGTTGTAGTATATTTCATAGGGATGACGATATTTTCAAGATATCACAGTACAAAATTGATTGCGATATTTTGCAGAAGCTAACGTAATTGTGAATATACTACTTTTTCCTTTTAAAATGTCTTGACAAGCCTTTGGTTCTGTCATAAGCCAAACTAAGTAATTTCATTGGACTGAAACAGAGCAAAGGATCATGGTCTATGTAGTTCCCTCTGTTTCTTTTAGCTGTTGCTGCACCAAAACAATGAATTTAAGCAAAAAGACTTGTTATTCGATATATTATGATGGCCCACAATATTATTGAGAGACTTCTGACGATACGATATCACGATATTTTGGTTATTGTTACATCCCTAATATTTCATGTCCAAAATTGCTGAAATTGAGTGGTTCAGCTGTTTAGAGGGGAATGTTTGTTGGCTTTTATCAAAATAAAAGATACTTTAAAAAATACACAAAAAGATCACCATAATAAGCCCATAGTAGTATTGTAAATTGTTAATATTGAACCTAGTAGTATTTTGCACACTATGTAAATTCTGTGGTGGACATTAAGCCACCTGCTTGTCTTCATAGAGATGTTATTGCATTGCCTAAAATGGTCCACAGTATGGCATTACACTTTTCTATCTAGGTTACAGATCAGATTTGTGGGGAGGTATCCTCACTCACAGTAAGAATGCATGTTTTTCAAGATATCTGAGCAATAATAACGCCTGTAATTCAAAAGATTAATGACACACTGTGGAACATATCGAGCGAAGCAGCAGCATAATCATTAGAAAAACAACTGACAAACCCTCCACCAGAAAAGTTACATAGTGCACTTATATATGATCCTAAAAGTTTCTCTCGGTATGGACACACATTCGAGAATATATCAATTTATGTAGGTGCTCATAATTTCTCCTTGATATCAATGCAAAAACACTACATTCTTTCTCTTTTAAAGACATTTCCAGACAAATTTTGTGTAATGACACACTGTGGAACATATCAAGCAAAGCAGTAGAATAATCATAAGAAAAACTATTGGCAAACCCTCAACCAGAAAAGTTACATAGTGGACTTATATGACCCTATGGAGGAAAAAGTTTCTCTTGGTATAGACACACAGTCGAGGATATATCAATTTATGTAGGTGCTTGCTGTGTCTTCCATAAACATGAACTGCTTTTTGAAATTCAGCTATCACTTTTTCCAGAAGACAGACACCTCTCCACCGCCGAGTCCCACCACGGTGCCACTCATCCTGGGACGACATCCAGCGAAGAGTCCCTCATTCATATTCTGTCCATGGGCTCCAAGGCACTGATGCTTCAAGTGTGGGCAGACCTCTCCACAGGCTCTATGACATTCAGGTGAGTATCCTCCAGCAAGTTACCACTGTTCAGAAGTGCATGTTTTATCATAAGGCTGTGTACTGTTTCTCTAGGATGTGTATTGACCCGAATGATGAGATAAAGGCAGGACTCCTGGCACAAGCAGAGTCTGCAGAAGGACTACTTCGGCCGGGACAGTGGCAACACATTGGTCTGACCTACAGCCAGCAGCCGGAGGGCAAGAAGAACATCCATGGCTCTGTGGTGGTGTGGGTGTGTGGAATCAGGTACACCAACATCTCAAGGTCTTACATTAGGCATAATACAATGTTTTTCAATACTTTGGACTTTTTTGGCTTTGGTAGTTGATGTAATGTAACTTATTAATGTCTGGAAAATACCTCCAAGTAACACATTTTTTGTGTGATGTATTAATATCACTATGAACCTGAACTATAAGGCAGATTTGGGTTCTGCTTTTAGTTAGTTGTCTCTGCTGAGCTGATAGCAGAAAAGTTACGTAGTGCACCCCAAGGGAATTCCAAAAAAATCTGAACTATCACAAAAAGCAGAGAGTATAACAGGGTTCACACGGTCATGGAAATCCTGGATTGGAAAAGTCATGGAATTTTAGAATCTCTTTCACGCAACTACAATGTTCAGTTAAGTTATTATTAGGCTGTTATGATTATTTCTGAACGTATGAGTTCTTTTGTTTAAAAGAGATGACAATAAATGCATTGACAGTATTTTGAATGCTAAAAAACTCTAATATCAATCAAACCATAAGGTGAGTGGAAAGGGTTAACATTTCATATTTAGCCCTAAAAGTCTGATCAATTCTACACATGTAGGGTGCTGTAAAGTCATGAAAAATTCACTTTAGGTCATAAAAAAGTAATGGCAAATTTTTGAAATTTTGTCAGTGAAAAAGAGTGGGAACCCTGGTATAAATATTTACCCCCAAACAGTATTATTCATCACTCACTTTGTTGAAGTTATAGTAATTATTGTGACTGGTCTACACATCCAGGCTTTACTTGGTATAGAATTGCACTGGTGGGTGCAGGACTGCATCTGCAATGGAGAGTGAAGTTGGAAGTTGGAATCAAGCTAAAACAATGGCAGCTACCATCAAACTTACTAAACTGCACGGAATCAGCAAGTTTAGCGCCAACATAATCAGTACAAGTCTGCAAAGTTGCTTGTTTAGACCTTGGTCTCTCTTATATATTGATTTTTATGTTTGCAATTTCAATTTTAGTTAAATTTTTACAATGCTGAGGGTAGCTGTCAAATATTATAGTTCATATCTTTTTCATAACCAAAATATTTATTACAGATCCAATATGCAGCTAACTTTTTCTGCTATCTCTACAGAAAATGTGAAGTTTCTCTGGACTATACATTACCCAGAAAGTCCAGCTTATCCTCAGACAGCAATAAGACTCTGTGCATGCTGGGACACTGCCTCTTGATATCAGAGGAGCAGATGAAGCAAAGCCCACGATGGAACATGGGCACTGTGCTGCTGTTTAATGGTAAGTCTCCTGCCACTTTGTATATTAAAAACCATCAGTTATATTAGATTACTTGAAGTGTAACCCGCATTTTCTTGTATAATTAGTTTGGCGTCACTGCTTTCCCCCACTGATGCATTAGTTACAGATTCGGTCTTGCATGCATTTCATCACACATAGTGATTTTTGAATGTATAGTCACAGAAAAGTGTTATAAAGGGAATCTAAAACTGTTTGAGTAAAGTTATGAAAAGCCTTAAGCTGCACAAAAATTGCAAGAGTATTTCAGTTAACACTAGTCAATTAAACAAGTGTCTTTTTTGTGCTCAATACGGCTCCTGCTTTCACGTTTTTATTTACTCAATTTCTTCACAAACTGCCACTCAACTGATGTAAAATTATGATGAATGTTTACTTCAGGTACTATACTATAATTAAAAATATATGAATCTGTCAAATGCACCTTAAATTATGAATAAAATAAATAAATTGTGTTATTATTTTTCTCCACACACGGGCAGTTTGCTTTGCCACTCAGACCAAACTTGAGGGGATTTGTTTTGAATAAAAGAATGAATGCATACCAATCAATGTTCCAGCTATTATGTTTAGTTCTCTAATTTCTCAAATATGGTTTTAGGATTAAGTTAAGATTCTGATTGTTATCTTTGTAGGGAAATTTGTCCTCTGCATTTGACTCATCCTTCAATGCAGCTGGGGCAACGTGTCAGAAGCACTGCCCAAAAAAAAAACATTTTCAGAGTTGAGTTTTGAGTTAGGCTTGGTCTGGACTATCTTGGCAGGAGGTTTTTACGTAATTTCCTTATCCTCTAAAGAACAGTAGTATGATTATGAAAGAGTGTTGCATACACAAGTCTGAAAAAATAAACATTTTTCACCTAAGAGACTCACCACTCATTTTACAGTGGTCTCTCATGTTTTCCTCCCCGGTCTGTGGTGTCATGGTGTTTTGATGGTTTGTCTTGTTGTAAATGGCTGTAGCTGGAGTGATGTAGGGCATGCTGTGGATTCTCGGCATTCTTTGTGAGGCTGGCTCAATACTTCTCTTGTTGTCTCTAATCGACTGTGAGTGGCTTAAGGCTTGTCAACTTAAGACAGCAGCTGACGGTTTTAGACTTGCTGTTGCCATAGGGACTCATTATGGTCAAATATTTATGCATGAGGAATTTTGTTTTGAGAACAGCAAGATATATAAGATTGTGGTTTCCTTTTGGTATTTATGGTACTATGATGGGGTGGTTCAGATACTCAGAACTCAGATACTAATCGATACTAACACCAGAAGTGAAACAAGTATTAATGATGAAAGAAAATCAACAGGACATGACTGGCCCTTTTCATGAATAGTGTTAGAATTAGGTCAGGATCTATAGCAGAATGATCCTTCTAAGTGTATTATTATTATTCTGTTATTTGTGTTGAATTTATTTTAAATATTTTAATATAACTCTTTGATGTCTGCTGCCTGAATATGAACACTTATACTGTAAAAATATTGTTAGCTTATGGTATGATGAAAATGCTCAAAATTATGACAGCTGACAATCATACTGAATATCAACAATCTCCCCTTGAAGTCGGGCCGGTTTGGGGGTGTAACCAGTGAATGTTTTGCCTTTTAGAGTTAACTTATTAGAAATAGAATTAACAAACATTAATTGTGATCCTACACCACTGGTCAGAATCTCCAGGCTGTAAGTTTCTTTTTGAAAGCTGGAGTGTCTAGTGCACTCCTCACACCAAATCTATGCTCCCTCTGGTTTGGTGTCAAACCAATCTAATGTTCAATTGAATTACGCTGCAGACACTGAAGCAGAGATATTTGAGGTCTTCTGAGAGAACTGGAATAACCTTGAAACTCAGTGAAAAAGGGCCTGTATCTGACTTTTAGTCCATCAAGTTCAACTCTTTTCATTTAGAAAATGCAACTATTTGGGAAAAAGTTTGACTGAATGATAATGCTGATACATTTTGTTTGATGAGAACTATAAGAAAGCATCTGTCTTTGACTATCACAGACAATTGTTTTATGAACCACCATTGTAAGAAGGGACGTAGTAGTTAAACCTACTACGTCCCTTCTTACAATGGTGGTTCATAAAACTGTAACTGATGAATATTCTTCACTCATGCTACAAACTTATAGGCTATTTAATCAATTATTTGGTCACTTTATCAAATGTTTAACTGTTAACTAGAAAGTTGATGTCTTTGTTACATTTTATACAGTGCCATCAAATATTATGGGTCATGATCAATGGAAAACAGCTTGTTGTAATAATTTCTTTTCTATGCAGCATAATGATTAATTTTTAGTATGTTTGTTAAGAGCTTAAGCCTCTAACCATGAATGAATTAAGAAAGCAATCACCCTAATCTGAATTGTTTATTCTCAGGAGCAAGAATAGGTTCAGAGGAGGCGTTCTACCTTTACGCCAGTGGGCCCGACCTCACCTCCATAATGCCCTGCAAGTACGGCAAGGCCAGTGTGTCATTCTCAAAATTCGTCACACTAGAGGGGCTTAAGTGTGACTATGTCCGAGACCTTCTGACCAAAAACAAAGATGTGGACACTACAGCTTTGGTGGTAAGTTTTTGTGTTGTATTTATGGTAATCAGATTTTGTCTTTAGGCTTTGTTAATTAAGTACATTGTTACAACATCAAAATCTTTCTCATTTACCATCTTATTTCGCAGTGTTTAACCAATGTTTTCTCCCAATTAGTTGCTCTCAGTGATGACAGCCCACACTGCTGCCAAAGTAATTTTTCAACTATAGACTACAGTTTAGCTGCTGCTATTTCAATCAGATGGATATTATTTTCACATTAAAAACTAATGACATTGTTGATAGTGGGTGGGCCAAGGAAGTGGAGGAGGTGATCAGGAAGAATGAACTTTCTATTTTGACTGCTAATTCAGTACAGTGTTTTTGTTTCTCTGTATCAGACACACCACCTATGAATTAATAATATTTTATTGTGTGTAAACCCAAACTAATAAATAAAGAAATTGTTTAGAAATAATTGGGTTCTACTTTTTAGCCCTGCTGAATCTGAACTAGGAATGGGTGATATGCTAAAATAATGAATCACAATTTTTCTTTTGATTTTTGCTTTCAATATTAATTTTCCGAACATTACCAACACAGACTTTTAATAATTAAACCCACCTGAAATAGTCAAATTTCTTCCTCCAAAGTCTGAACTCCCCTTCAAACAACATGCTTTTACTGACAGGATTTTCTGTAGACCTTTTAGTTAAAAAATGACTGAATCTCAATTAAAGTTCCAATTTAAAACCTAGTCTAAACCTTGACCCTAAAATTTTATAGATCATTTTATAGATTTTTATGTCAAGACAGAAAATAGGACTACTGTAACATTTGTTGCAGGCAGAAATGCAAGTAGACCTTGTTAACAGAATACTGTAAGTGAAAAAAACTTGTACTGTAATTGGCTGCATACACATACAAACACACACATTGCACACACGTTATACATCCATATATACACAGTTACACCTACTTTTAAATATCCACCAATTATGCATGTCTCCCAGTCATTATTTTATATCACTATTAGCTGGAAATGGAGAGATATACAGAAAAAACTCCCATCGTATCTATATCACTGTATTGTGTTGTTACATTGATCATAAACAATCCCTCTGGCAATTCTGACAAAGACATGGCAGAGATATACAATAGGGTGACCCCATTAAATGTAAGACTTCTCATTATGCTAACAGCTTCTTCCCATAAGCTCTTATGAACTATGCCCTTTGAACTTTGATGTAGTACCTTAATATTTTGGCTACTTAATATTTTGTAGCTTGTTTATGTAACAATATGATTGTTTTTTGTTGTGTTTATGTGGTTGTTTTTGTTGTCTCATGGCGCACTTTGAGCTTTTTGCACACGTTTTTCCAATGTGTTTTTTAACTGCAAATGGAAAATAAACTAAACTAACCTTGATTTAAAAAGATTTACATTCCTTACAGTCACAGTCCACAATAACATACGGTATTTACTTGTATTTTGTCTCCATTCCAGGAGAGCCTTGCCGTTGTTTATGCCCCCAGCAGCCCCAGAGTCTACACCATCTATGAGCCTGTGATCAGGTTAAAGGGCCAGGCCAAAACCGTTGTAACGCAGAGACCCTTCAGCTCCAAAGAGGTGCAGAGCGTGTCCATGGAGCACCCTGCGCTCCGCTCTCTGCTCCCCACACAGACACAGGGTCTACAGAGCGTCCTGCACAAGATCGGAGGGACAGGGACGTTTGTGTACCTCTTTGCACAGGTTCGATCTCTCACTATAAATATTACGTCTTCTTCTGATTTTAAGTAATGTACTGTTTTATGGCAGCATAGGTTTAGTGTATGTAGAGTTTTCAAAATTCTTAGCTTCACTTTTCCACTAATTGAAGTAGTTCTGCCTTAAAAATACTGTTTCTATTTTTACTATATCTTAATAGATTTAATCACAATTGCACATATAAAGACCACAACAAGCTCTTAACAGTGCAAAATTGTCCTATATGTATATTTATATATATATATTTATATTTATATAAATATATACTATTTATATTTATTGTATGTAGAGAATGCCTCAATATATTCAGTGTATCTCATGGAAATGTTATGGATTATTGCAAAAATACAAATGTGCTAATGAATATAACATAAATAGCAAAGAGTTCTTATAGAATTATCATTTTTATTTCAATTTAAAATATATATATTAAAAAAAAAAACTCTCACCAAAGTTAAAGAATTGGTATATCCATGGGTTTCAGCATGATGAAAAATGATGAGAAAGGCTATAGCGATTAACAATTAGTTAAAAAATAGAAAATATAATTTCATTCGAATGGGGAAAAATCCTGAAATCAATTCATATACCAGGATACTGAAACCCATGGCTAATGAATTTTGACATGGTATTCTTTGCCTTTTTTAAACATGACTTGTGTTCCCCATCCTAATGGTCTTCTCTCCTTTGCTGATGTCCAGACGGTGGAGCTGAGCGACTGTGAGCAGACCCAGGCTCTGGCCCTGAGGGTGCTCCTGTCTCTGTCCAAAAACAACCAGCACCGCATCCATGAGATGAACTGTTACCATGGATACGCCATGATCCACCAGGTCCTCATCAAGTCCAAGTGCATCGTGGGATATCACATGCTCAAAGTGAGTCCTGCCCTCCAGTCTTGGTTCTCACATATGTCTCTGGATGTGTTAATTATGTGGTGGTGGTTTTCAAAGTGGGGTGCTGGTACAACTAGTGGTACATGAACTCCACCGTGGTCTAAAGGTTTGATTGTGACACACAGGGCCAATCTCAGTGTAGTAAAATGTATTCCTGGCTCCAACAATGAGCTAAATATCCCCCTGCTCCTCACCCCCTTTTCACTCTGCTGATATGTAGGAGCCAAAGTAACAACTACAAAAGCGTCTTCTGATATCGGAGAGATGATTTAAATTTACAGTTTATTTTATAATGTTTATCTTAATTTTCCTTTTAACTTTTTAATTGTCTGAGCCAGTGAAACTTTTGTCACTATTTATCACTATTTATATTCTTAATAAAACATGAAGACAGACTTAATTGGTTAGGGTTACAGGTTAGCACATTTTGAACTAGATATTCATTAGTCTTTGATCATGTTTTATGGAGGCTAATTAAGGTGTTGTTATTATAAAGTGTTACCAATGCATTTGCTGAAACCTGGTTTAGTCACTCTTCTATATTCTTATATTCTTATATTCTTATACTGCCGTCTTTTGAAGTAGGAGCTTGCAAACCCACATTTCTTCTGATGAGTTGTTGTAAAGAGTTGTATAGTCCTTTAAGCTGTATTCTGTGTCCAGTTTTCCCTCACATATTTGATGTATGTCAGAGTAGTCCCTGTGTTCCTGGGAATGGCCCGCTGTTACTTGACCCTGTGTCTGTGTCTGTAATCGAGCCGTGTGAAGACTCACTACTGAAATGGACTCTGTCTGACTCCATGAAACACTGAGCTCCAGCAGAGTCTCATGACAGAACGGATTGTCTTTGTGATAAAAAGTGGTGCTGTAGTGTACTGTAGTAAGAAGGGGTTTTGTCTTACAGCATTGTAAAGTGTATTAGGCCTGTCACGATAACACATTTTTAAGTACAATATATTGCTGGAGAAATATAGATGATAAATTATAATATAGAAATGAATTTATGCCACTGACACAGTAACCCTTAAGTAGAATTATCCCTTATCCCTATTCTAAATGTTTATTTAATATGGTTAAAAAACACAAACTGCAATAAATAAATATCAGAATGAAACACTTTAGCAGTTAGTTTGTATCTGTAATGAATCCCCACAATAAATAGACTTCCTAAAATTATGGCTTCTTATGTTTTGAGTTGATATATTAATTATGGTGACAGGTCTCGTTGAGATTTGCCATTTATGTTTTAATAGTGAGATTATGTTGACTGCCTGAAGTAGAAGTAGTAGAGATCTAAATAATCCAAGATATTTAGTTGTTTCAATGGAAATTGTTTGAAACTGGCTAATTTCGACCATTCAGATAGCATTAAATCAGTTGCAATATATCTTGTAACTCTATAATGGACCACTAGTATTAATTACTTACATTACATATACAGCTTTTTCAATTCTGAGTTTGAAACGGTTTTGTAATTCATGTTGGCTTTAAATAGCACCAATCTAATTGATACGATGCTTCTGTTTTTTGTTCCAGGTTTCAAAGTGTAAGTGGTTATTAAACTCTTACATTTCATATATTGCTATATGCTATCTGTAATTGTTAGTGGCCCTATATATAGTATACAGATCTAGGAGCTTTGCTTTAGAATTTGGCTTGAGAAACCTAAAGATTTATGGGCGCTGCAGTGCGGATGGTCACAGGTGATAGACTGTGATCAATAGTGACAGACCTGAGGCTAGCGTTAATAGCATTGGTTTCGACAGTGACTTATTTCTTGTCCAAAAAGTCATGACGTTTGTATTGATTCTGCTCCTGTCTGGGTTTGCTCTGTGTGGGGGAAAATCAGAGCAGGTGGTGATTACGAGGCTCTTGGGCAACATATCAGGAGGATCTCTGTTGCAAGTAGGTATTTTATAAATGACTTTTTTATGATGTTGTGGGCTTACTGTGTCTCTATAGACTCTGCTGGATGGATGTTGCAGTGCTCCCATCCTGGTCCTGGGAGAAGATGGACATTTCCGACTGGACACGGAGTCCCTCGCTGTGGTGCAGGACATCAAGCTGCTCTCAGATATCCTCCTGGACTGGAAGATATGGGCCAAAGCTGAGGTATACCACAGGGCTGCAACTAATGATTATTTTAATTGTCAACTAGTGGACGACTAAACGATTATTTTTATTGTACATGGAGACCAAAATGAATGTTTGAAATATGTTGCTGAAGAAATAGGATGTTTATGAAAATCTAAAATGTTTTATTCTTTTTTGACATTTTGATTTCATAATGCAGCTGTCTTTGTTATTATGTTTATATAGAGTTTATATAGTCCAGATAATGATTGTGATCAAGAAACTATTCAGACTTTCCAACTTTTTTATAGTTGACTGGTCATGATCACTCCATGTTACTCACAAAACACCACAAATTACAATCTGTTCAAAAGCTCAAATAATATCAATGTTTTGCTGAAGTTTAATTTAGTTTATTAAATGAGACATGGACAGTGCACAATATACATGAACCTTAAAAAGAGAGATGCATTGTACCAGGTTGTAACACTACTGCTAATTTCCACCTGTATTCCCTGGGCAGGCTGACACGTAGTAGCTGCCTGAGCCTAATTATAAATCATAGAAACTTATTCAGATGAGTGAATCGGGAGAATATCTGGAATGTGCATTATTTTAACATTAACATATCATTATTGTTGTCATGCAAATTAAAAATAATAACATGTTTATCTGTATTCTTATGTAAACTCACTTGCTCCCTGTGTCATACATAATTACTTTCTGTTGTCTCCAGTGTGGTGTGTGGGAAACTCTGCTCGCTGCCTTGGAGATCCTCATCAGAGTTCACCATCCGCATCAAGTCTTCAACATCCGACAGTTCCTCAAGGCTGAAGTCGTGCATCGCTTCCTCCTCACCTGCCAAGTCCTACAGGTACAAATGAATGAAAATAAACGTTGAAGACCACAGAGAGAGGTCTGCATTTATCAACACGCAACCTTTAAAGCGCTGTATAATTGATAATAATTTAATTTAAAGTTGTAACTTCTGCTGATGCTTCTTCAAAAACAGTAATACAGTAACGCCTGTGTCCTATACAGAAGATACATCATGTCATAGAGATCGATTTTGGATTTAATAAATTGGTTTGAGTAGTAGAATCTGGCAGCCCTTAAGCTTTCTCTTTAAATATAAGACTGGAGAATTATGACACTAGCTGTAAAAAAAACGTAATAATACAGAGTGAGAACCCTAAACATTAATTTAATATTTATTTGATACGGCTAGTGCAATTTAATATATATATAAACATAAATAGTAATATGAAACATTTCTTCAAAAATGCACCCTGGTAAGACATTAGACTAACTTAACTGTATCTTGTTGTTTATAGGAGCATAGGGATGAGCACCTCACTGCTATTCCGCAAGACGTCTGCTTATCATTCGTCAAAATCATTCAAGAAGTTTTGGGGTCTCCTCCTGACCTGGATCTGCTCAAATTGATCTACAACTTTCTCCTGGCTGTTCACCCTCCCACCAACACTTATGTCTGCCACACACCATCTAGCTTTTATTTCTCGCTACACATCGGTAAGTTATATATAAGGCATGGTAATAGCTTTTACTCTCCTCTGACTTAGGTCTTGTCTTTTATATGTTAGGAAATCTGTCTATTCATTCACACTATGTTGAATGAATTCTGAAATTGAAAACTTTTAGTTGGATGTAGGTCAAAAGTGTTGAAAATCATTTGAGCATGTATCAATACTGCAAATAATCACATTAACAGGACAAAAATACTAGCCTGGCTGGTGCCACCTGGTGCCTGGCGACTAGTCAGGAATCAGAATACACTATTTCATGGTTCACACAAACCCTGGAAGTGCAATTTGGGCACCAGCCAATTAGTGAAGTGCTGTACAATCTGTGTTGGCAACGATTCCCGAGATCGAGGATTTAAAGCCAGAACAAAGAGAATGTTTGGAGAATTTTATCAAGGGAAAAGATGTTATTGCCCTTCTTCCTATGGAATTTGGGAAAAGCTTAATATACCAGTTAGCCCCATTAGCGGCGCATTACATACGCCATGACCAAATAGTACCGATTGGTTAAATAAAAAAGTACCCACCTACCATTGAGCAAACGAATTCTAGCGCTGCAAGGTCAGACGGTTTCTATGAAGTGAAACGACCTGATGAATCAGAGTACAAAAATACATCCTAACACTAAAAAGGAGCATTTTTTATTTTCCTTTGTGGTATTGTAATCAGTACCAAGTATTAAATGAATTCCTTAGTATCAAAATCGAGTTTGACATTTTCTCTCAACAACAATCAACAGACGAATGAGTCTAATGCAAGTGGGGCAGATATCATTATATGTATTTATTTATTTTCTCCTTCTTTTTGTCAGATGGAAAATTATACCATGACAAAGTCCAGTCTATTATGCACCTGAGACACTCAACAAGTGGAGGGAAGTCCGCCTGCAGCTCTGTGGTGTCCCTGTCTCCCACTGTCTTCACTGACGCACAACATGAAGGTACTTTTGCTTTATATACAGTGTAGTACAGTATTATGGATATTTGGATTTAGGCTCAGCAATATGTATTACTTAGTCCATCATTTACCACTTTTGCGGGGCTGGTTCTTAGCAATAATTCATAAACTTTCCTCAGTGTGCTTGTCTAGGGGGTACGTCAGAATTACCTGGAATTTATCATATTCAGTTCTGTTTTATTTACAGCATGGTTATGGTTGAGTGGCTACTATTAAGCATTCAGGGTTTGACTGTAGGACCCTGCAGTCCCTCACTGCTCCTGACAGGTTATTCTATTGGCATTGACGAATGGTTCAGTTGCAGAGGACAATTTTACCTATTGGAGCTATAAATGTACCTAAAACTTCCTTAACCTTGTCCTATAGTTCAAATGTGATATGAATGTTAGCTCAGCAGTATTTTCATCCATCCGTCTTTTCCCACTTATGACTGGATTATGGGAAGAGCAGTCACGTCAAAGGAACCCACGTCTTGTCTAGGGGTATAAATCAAAATAAACTAGTCAATTAATAGCATATACTATAAACACACAATCTGCACAGTGTTATTTTCCTTCTAAGCATTTTAAGTGCTTACTGTATGATTTAGAATGACATAAAAGTTATGTGGTATGGCAAAGAAACAAAAAATATGCCATAATTTCTTAATTTTTCCCGTATATGCTGCCTAAATCTGCCAAGAGAAAAATCTATAGTGCTTTACTGTTTCTGATAAATAACATGTCGCATCTTTTTTCTTGTTTTTTACTGTAAGTGATTTAGAGTGAAAGGTCCAATTATGCACTTTTCCATAACCTCTTCTCGAAACCTTAAAGTGGTTCTTTAGCTGAAGTCAGACTATAATCACAACGGTGGGTGGCAGGTTGATGTCGTGCGCTGGAACAGTCTTTTTCTGAAGTTTTTTATAATTACATCATCTGATAATTTAGCTTTAACTTCCTCTTTTATCTCAGTTTCAAAACTTTCCCTGCTTTATAAGACCTTTTGTGACTCCATATGGTTGACTGCAGTCTCCTGGGCTATTATTTCCTACTGTCTGTTCTTTAAACATCTTAATAGCATGGCAATCTGCAGGAAAAACATCTAATAAAGACATGTTGTTTGCAGCACGGTTCCCTTGATGTAGACAGAAGGTCACAAGAGTTATATTTTAAGTAGCTAATGCAAACACTTGTCCCAGGGGATGAAATGTATAAACAGGAGGTCATAGAGTGCGTGTCGTCTCCCACCCATTTCGCTTTCAAAAACATTTCGTCTTTTTCACTAATGCTCTTAGCCGCCGTCCCCATAGAGCGGTGTCACTTTGTATCACAGTACTGTCACAACTTTAATTAATGGAAATGTTGCTATACTAAGCCTCTTTTATCAGTGTCTGCAAATAGTCTTTACAAATCCTATTTTTGTTGGGAACATTACATTGGTATTATAATGCTTTATGCTAATGATCAGAAGTACGATTTGTTCTTCAGATTTCCTTTTGTGTCATGAAAATGTAATAGAGTATTGTTTGATATCAATGCAGTCTCACAGCACAGTATCACAATATTATCAGTTTTAAAGGTGCAGTAACTTTTCTGGTCTGCCACTGGCTTGTTTAGTTTTTGTTTTATTTATTTTCTCTTGGTAAAAAATCATTTATACAATAGAATGTGAAAGATGGCTCAAAACGTGGTAAAATGCATAAGGCTCTAATAAAACGGTGCAAAATTCATATTTATAGCTTATGAGAAACGATGAAATACATCAATACAAGAGTTACACAACAGGTTTAAAAGGAAATGCCATAAGGAAAATGCAGTGTTTCAGAAGCAGACATTTAAAGTGTTTTTAAACTGACTTTGTATAAGCTCTAAAAAGGAGCCATGTCTCCATGGAGATGTTGACACCACCAGGGGAAGTTACACAGAAACCTACAATAAAAAGCCTGTTTTCCAAGGTAATTTTAAGCAATAAACATGGTAACTGATAAAAAAATAATTGATAAATTGAAAATGCAAGATAGATAGATTAATTCACCTTTAAGTATTTCAATATTGTGGTTAGGAATTTAGGATTTAGGATTTTTTTCCCTCTCAGAACAACCCTTAATGCATCATTATCGTCATGTTTCCCTTGTAAAAAAGGGTGATGTATTGTGACGTCTCTGATTTATCATAGGACTGCCGCAAAATAATGGATTTCTTATGCAAAAGATGACTTCAATTGTTGTAAATGTCCATGATAATATTCTGTGACTGTTACTAATGTTTTTTCATCGGAGTTTGAAGTTGTTGAAGTTGTGACATTTTAAATTGCTCTCTTCAGGCCATCTTCATCCTTCTTATGCTGAACACGGAGGAGACGACCAGTCCTTACGGCCCCCAAGCATCGCCCCTTCTCCATACTCTTCCCCGCTCCTCACCCCTCGCCTGGGGAACGGAGGTGGCCCTGTGTCTGGTGACAGTGATGGCGTCTCCCCTTCGGCCCAGCAGGCTCTGGGCAGCACTGAGACTCTGAAGAAGGGCGATGAGCAGTTACTGAGCAGCTGTGAATCTGCCAAAACCATATGTGACTCCAGAGAGGCTGAGGGCGGAGCGCGGACCCCCTCCATCAGCATAGAGGAGGAGCGGGATGAGGCAGAGGTGGACAGTTTGGCAGAGGGCAGCGTTGGGGTCGCGGAGTCCGAAGATCGCTTTGACTGGGCCAGTGACGAAGCTCCCAGAAGGCCAGACAGTTTAAAGGGCATCCAATCATTTCAACGCAGTCATAGCAACCTGGCCAGTCTGGGGTTAGCATTTCCTGCTACAAATGGGTCGTTAGCAATCGGACGGTGGCCCAGTGCAGCAGACAGGGGATCAATGCCAGAAGACTGGGAGAGTTACACCTATTCACCGGGATATGAGCGCACCCACAGCAAAACAGAGTCCAATGACAGGTAAAAAGTCTAATGATAGGTTCATTAAGTAACATAAACATTGGTAACTGCAGAGTTTACTTCAGAAGTTATGCAATGAAAAGAAACCAATCACCAACCTGTTTTATTTTAAGCAAATGTGGTCATCACCCCAGTTAATGCTCCACCATGTATGTAACTTTTCAGCCAAAATAATATTATTGCTGTTACTGTGTTTTCTGGATCGGATGTTCCACAGTATGGCATCTCCATGGAGTTTCAACCTCCTGTGGTCAACCCACTAGAAATGTTGCACATCTCAGTCTTTTACCAATCTTCCTAATGAGCTTTTTCTCTATGTGACAGCATTGAAACATTTGAGACAGATTTTCAAACCTGTGTCCAGGTCTAGCACAGAGGACTGCCTGGTGCTGATTTGCTGTGGCCTGTATGACCTGCTGAGGGGCGTGCTGCTGCTCTTACCAGACCTGATGCTAGAGGAGGTCATGGACAAAGTCATCCAACCAGAGGCTCTCATCGTCCTGGTCAACCACTCATCTCCTCTGATCCAGCAAGGAGTCATGAAGGTATGCCCCCAAAGCCTGTGATTCTCAAATGTTTTTTTACTTGGCATGTAGGTATTAATATGGGGTACCCCAGGCCACAGCTGAACTAGGAATTAAAATAAATTCAAGAAATATATTTGCCATTTGTACACACATAAAAGTCCATGCACATGGAATTCTTGTGCAGGGCTCTAAGGAGTTCAAGTAAAAACACATATTCAATACATCATACGGCCATTTAAGGCAGCAGTGCCACTAATAATAAATGTTGTATATTACACATAAAGGTGTCAGGGCTAAAGTTAGGACACAGAAATAAGGACAATACATACTGTGACTAAACTAAACATTCCAAAGCCAGGACTTAAAGCTACCTGTATTCCAGGTTGGCAATCAAAAAAATCCTTTACAATAACATTAGACAATATACTCAATGTTACAAGAAACAAAGGTGTGTTGCCCAGTTTTATGCAACCTAAATGTTCATCTTCATTTGAACCTGTTACAATCAGAAAAAGCATTCCAACCAACAGTGTGTCGCTTTCCATAGTTTGAGAACCACTGTCCTAAATCACATTATATTATTTAGATAGATTTTATTTATTTACACATGAAAAATAATAATGACATCAGCAGAGATATCTTCAATCTCTATAATGTCCGAAGTGTCCTACCTAGAATATATTGTACAGGCCTCTCCTTCAGGCAGCTAGCTCACTCATAGATGATATGTGGTTTGGGGCAATGGTTTTATTACCAAAAGTTGAATTTATGGCCATTTTCAAGACATACTTCAAAATGGCTGATGTATTTTGTGCCTCTTTTACAGTTACTGGATGCATATTTCAGTCGAGCCCAGAAAGAGCAGAAGGAAAAGTTTCTGAAGAATCACGGTTTCTCACTATTGGCAAATCAGCTGTACATTCACCAGGGCAACCAGGGTCTCCTCGAGTGTTTTCTGGAGATGCTGTTTGGGCGACCTGTGGGCCTAGAGGAAGAGTAAGTGTTAATGTTGGAATAGGGTAATATATTTAAAGGGATTTTATGTAGCTAGCGCTCTTAGTGTTTCAAAAAAGCTGCTACAATCACTATGTGCACCTGGGTTGGTAGTGCGTCGCCCTGCATACAAGTTTTTCTCCTTCTCAGTACATGGACAGGCCACGCCTCACTGAGCTGCAGAGGCTGCATTAGCACTGATTCATGATTGTCTTTAGGTGCTGGGGTTTAGGTAGTGAGGAGACAGATCATAGAGTGTTATTTTTAGGTTGAAACCAAGTGAAAATTAGAAGAGATTTTAATTTGACATTTATTGCTAAATTTAATGATTTAAAAAGTGACCTTACCTTGAACCGTATAGCACATCCTAAAATCTTATCCGATAATGCTGCCAAGGCTAATATGTGAATAAATTGGAAGCAGAGATATTTAGTCCCATTTTGTGATCTGTTGTAGCTTGGACCTGGAGGAGATGGAGAGCATTTCCCCATTCAGACGGCGCTGTATCATTCCAGTTCTGGGCCTCATAGAAAACTCTCTTTATGAAAACTCCCTGGTGCATAACATCCTGTGCATGCTGCTGCAGCTGATCAACGCCTGCCCCAAACTGGCCGACATCCTTCTGGACCACGGGCTGCTCTATGTGCTCTTCAATACACTGTCCACTCTCAACGGCATGGAGAACGGGTAAGACTGCTACTGCGGACAGGAGCTGGGGCAAGACTGCCACAATAGCTGGGATTATGTTAAACTAGGCGTCCTGCCGATTGATTTATGAACTAATTAGTCGACTTTTTTAAGCAAATAAAAAGGGGCATGGAAAAAATCTTACAACTACACCTGCACCGGAGTTCATGGAAACTATGCAGAAATAAGTACTAGGAAACAGATTTTTTTTTTTTTAAAGACAGTTTAAATTTATGGATCTTGAATTGACTCTGAAGATTTATGTATAGATACCAAAAAATACTAATTCTTCAGCTAATACACTCATTCACTTTCACGTCTCCTTTCTGCTGTTGTCTCATTTAAATCCTTATTATTTAAATAAAATTACTTACATCTTGCCTAGAAGGGCTGTAGGCCTTTATTTGATTAATTGGTTGATAGGGTCCTAGACATCTAACATCATTTTGTTGAGATAGTAATGATTTATATTAACCAAAGCAGACAGGAGAGAACTTGGGGTGAGTTGGTTTAAGATTTGGGAGTGAATTTGTAGTGTAGTGTATTAAATGTCAACTACAGCCCAATTGGACCACCTTGATGCAAACTGGTCTAAGAATTCTTATTTGTTTTGTTCATTTTTGACAAGATCTGCTTCATGTAACATCAGATCCAGCTAAGAGCTCTTCACACAGTAGTTTAAAAGCTTGTCATGGTGCTTCAAGGCGTGTTACAAAATCATTAATCTCCTCTCTGTTCATTGATCTGACTAACGGTGGCAGTGGGTTTATTTCCTGAGCCTAATATGATTTTCTCTTGTTCATCTTGTCTTCAGCATCCCTCTGAACGACTACAAGCTCCTGGTGTGCGACATACAGCAGCTGTTGGTTGCCGTGACGATCCACTCCTGCAGTTCCTCGGGGTCTCAGTACTTCCGCATCATCGAAGACCTCATTACTCTGCTCGGATTTATGCAAACGAGCAAGATGCGCCGCACTCAAGGTAACCAGTGAAAGACGTCCTATTCAATACACTGTGTAATCAAAGGGAACCGCAGCCCTGTGCCAGCTATAGGGGAATCCCAATAGACTAGAACAGACAGTGTGTGTGTGTATATAGTTGTTATGGTGGCATGGAAGTTTTGAAAGAAAAAGAAGAAAGCTTAGTTGATGGAGTTGATGGTGTGCCCACAATTCTCAAGGTTGAAAGTTTGATCTGTACTACCTGAAATGTGTTCTGCTGTTTTGTTCTTTGGCAAAACACTCCATCCACATTGCCATTTTTATGATATTTTAGAATAACTTTGCTGACAGTAATAGAACACAGAATATTTCATGATGCAGTAATGTGTTGATCTTTCAGCTGTGCGTAATTATGACATTTTCTGTACTAAAAGAGTTGCAAGACTGTACATATTAACTCTTGAAAATGCTCAATGTTTTATTCCTACTATTTTTGACAGTCAATCTTTAATCAAAAGTATGAATCAGAATTTTCCACTTTGGAAACAAAATTGCACAAACGAACCTCTGAATCAGTGTTTCCCAAACTTTTTTTCTGGTGACCCATATTTTAAAAGTCACAAATCTTCGTGACCCAATTCAATAGACATTATTCGTAAATCACAAAATAAAGTTGGATTTGACCATTATTGAACATTAATGAGGATATTTTATTGTTGACTGAGTGATCCTGTCTCTCTGAACAATTAATATTACTCAAATTTTAAGCAAAGAAAAACAGTAATTGAAGCAGCAATTAAAGGGATCCATAAGTCGCCTATTTGGACATTACATGTAGCCCATTTCTTTTTCTTTTCAACATTCAATTGAACCAGCAGTATTGGAACAAAAAATAGTCAATGAAATAATAACAAAAGATTAGAAATTATACCTAACATGTCTTAACATTTCAGCATGTGTCAGAACTGTATATTGCAGACTTACATGCAGATCGTAACAAGGCAACCCAAAAAAAATCTCTTGCATCTGAGAGTCACTACCCAGTCTTTGGGAAACAATGCTCTAAAAATAGCCTCTAAGTGTTAATATACATCATTTTTTATGTTTATTTTTTACCTTTTGTTCCTTTTTAAATATAAATATCTCTATAATAATTGTAGAAATGGCTGTGGCGCTGCAGTTCCGGGTCCTTCAGTCGGCCATAGAGTTTATCAAGACGACAGCCAATCAGGAGCCTCAAAAACTCAGCAGCTCCATCAACCCCCCCAGCTCGCCGCACCACGCCATCTACCAGAAACGAAAAAGCATCGCAGGTAAGTTATAATGATCATACTTCTATTTTATATTTTTATTTTATTTTAGTATTTGAATTATGACAGTGCATATTATTCAATGTGTCAGCAAGCAGTGTCACCATAAATATGCCAGTAGTTTAGATTCATCCTTGTCTTTTTTATTATTTCAATCATAAAAATAGCTTAGAGCAGTAAAATGATTTGTGTTGGCCATGACTCTTGACTATTGTTCTCAAGTCATTTCCCTTTTGCATAATAATTGGAAAATAATTTAGTCCAAAGTGCTAATCCTGCCAACAATGTAATGACCAAGTCCAAACTATGAAATTGCACTGGCTACAAAACAAGCTACACTTTTTTTTTTCTCTCTTCAATGTATTTCTTTATTTAAAATGAGTAAGATCTAAGTATAAATAAATAATATGAATAATAAACACACATGTAACTTTTTTGTCATACTGTGGAACATTTTAGGTGAAGCAATAGGCAATTTATCCATAGAAAAGTACCAGAAATGTTATGTATTGCACCATATAATGTAGTTTCAATAGTGTCTCATTGTTCCTCCCTAGTTTTATGTAATATAATTCCACATGTACATGTCTTTTATGTTCCCATTTCATTGTCTAACCTCATCCTGTTTGTCCATCATCTTCATCCCAAACTCAAGGATCCAACCCCAAAGACTCCATAATCCCCCGTATCCCCCGGCAACACTACTGCTCCTATGGCCAGATCCCCATGTCTCCCTCTTTCAGCTTCCTCTCCCAGGACTCCCCTCTCCCCTCACCCTCGGGTGCTCCGTCCTACATGTTTCACTCTGACGCAGGTAGCCCAGGACAGTGACCTCTTACCGGGGACATGTCTGACTGTTTTGCAGTGCACTGACTCACCCTCCTCTGGGGTTAACTTGCCCAGTACACTGTTGTGCTACTGGAGCATTTTTTGTGTGTGTTTTTAATGACTTAATCACAGCGGTGGCTAGCATTTTCAAAGAGTTGGTGTTTTAGAGTTAATTTTATATGCTTTTTGTCCTCCCTTGGAAAATGTCTTGTCTAGAATGACAGTGGAAATGATGTACTCCACTTTTAGACCTGGTTTGACCCTGGAATAGTCCTGTTATATTCTTGATTTAGATCAGGTGATACTTGTGTAAAAGGTTTAGAGACACTAGTTTAGACCACATTTTCTGTATATATGAATATATTCTCTGTAACATTTCACTGATTTCATAAAGGAAACAGAGTATAATCTTTTATACATTGCATACAGGTAAAAAAAAAAAAAAATATGGAGTGTTATCCTCATTTTAGATGTCAAAAGGGTTTTGTGGCTCCGGATGTTTTCTTTTCTGTGGGAGACTGTCCAAATGGCTCTTTGAGTATGTAAGGTTGCCGACCCCTGGTATACACTAGCGTTGTGGCGGTGAATTACTTCGTGGCACATAGACCTAGACGCAGATTCATAAATCAAAATCGACGGCGATAAGGCTACGGTGGCAGTGTGCGTTAAGTCAGTGCAGAACTATACTTTGCTGTTTAGATGTGGTTTTGTTTCTCATTAGAGAGCTCCTGGTTTTGTAGTTAATCACTGAATTAATATACTTACTTACAAATTGTTGTTGTTAAAAATGTGTTGCTTTTTATCCCTGTTTAGACCTTATGTAGCAGTATAATTCTTTCTTCTTCTACTACTTTGGCATGTTAGATTTATATTTTGGTTAATCAGTATATACTTCTTTGATACCTACATTTTCTAGATCTCTAGTTAACCTGCCCAGTACATGAGAACATCTACTGTTTTGTGTGTTTTTTGTGTGTACTTTTGCAAATGCTTAACCAAACAACTGTTAAGCATTTCAGCACAGATGGTTTTCTGATCAGTGAATCACATTCACTAGTCAATGGTCCATCTGATTAAACTTGCTCTAAACTTGCATGAATTACTCAAATCAGTTAGTGTGTTATCTTGTGTTTCTTCTGTGAATTACCCACATATTGTTGTATTTTCGCAGGCCGGCGGCGCTTCTCTCTTGCCCAAGTCGACTCCCTGTTGATGCGGATGCGCTCTGTGGCCAGTGACGAGCTGCACCAGATGATGCAGAGGAGGATGAGCCAGGAAAACCCAATCCGAGCCAGTGAGACCGAGTTTGTCCAGAGACTTCAGAGGATCGTGGTGCTGGCCGTCAACAGACTCATTTACCACGGTACAAATCTGCCCACTCTTTGCTCCAGCTCTGTGTGGTTAGGAATTCAAATTATGACTGCAGCTTAGTCCAAATGTAGCTCCAGTTTAAAGCCAGGCACAACTTGAAGGGTTTCTTTATACAATTTTGGTTTATTTTGTTGTCTGAATTGTGAATTGTGTTTGTTAAAAAGCTTTCTTCTGTAATTTTTCTGTGTACTTTTATGTTCAATGAGAAAACACTGAGAATTAGGGTGTTGCAATTAATCACATTTGAATCCAGATCAAGATTCAGTCATTTATATTTGTCAATGATTAGCTTGGGTCCTTTCAAGGGAAAGGTAAACAGTCGGTTCTCTGTCAGTAAAAGCATGCTGTTTGGTTCATAGTTTGCAGGAATAAATGAAATCTTAATTGGTTACGTTCAGTTAATCAGAATTGATTAATATGAGCAACAGCATGTTTAATTTTTAGTCATATCGACCGGCAAGTTAATGGAAAATAAATTGAAGGTTGTAGCGATAACATTCCAAAAAATTTGAACAACAGGAAAAAGTTTATTCAAATTATTAGACAAATTTTGGCATTTTTCATTCAGTACAAGCTGTACTGTCACCATGATGTGTGGGATGCAAATTCAAAATTGGTTATATTGTAATATTAGATCTGCATGTATAGGTGGGACATACTGTATCTGGTCTTATCCTCTTTCTTGCTTTTTTTTCTCAGATGTCAGTCAGGACTTGTTTGACCTGTTGAATATCCCTGACTCCCCGGACCACCAGCTCTACACCCCTGAACACGGAGACACGGCTCCAGACGAGAGCGGCCCCTCCTCTGTCCCTCATTCCCCCACCCCCTTCACCCTCCCACCCGCCAGCAAGAAGAGCCTGCAGAAGGATATACTCAAACTGATGATGGACGGCATCAAAATCGGCCTGGTAAGACTTTAGGTTCATACAGCCAAGGATAAAGTGCAGTTTATTGATCATGGGGGGAATTTTGCTCTTTGTATTTTGATCCATCCTTCAATGTCATTTGGGTGCTCTGAAGGAGATCTTAGTCTGGAGAATCTATTAGAAACATTATTTCATTAGTATGTTTATAGCCAAAGTACTTCATGATGTTATTGCTACAAAACTGAAAACATGAAATTTACTTAAATGTAGTCAAGTAAGCCATGGAAGTTAGTTTACTTTCTTTACAAGTAAAAGCTGCTGAAATCATGATGAATGTATTTATCATTTTATATTTTTGCAGTGCATTTTGGTCATTTGGCCTGCTCCTTGGAAATGAAACTATTGAAAATATTAAGACACTAAGACAAGATTTTTAAAAATTAAGATGGATGGTCAGGTTATAACCTTAGTAATTAAGCAAAATGTGTAAATAAACAGCATAACGTCTCTATTTCTAAACAGGGCAGCACGGGTCGAGGTGGAGCCCCCCATCACCAATGGAGGAGGATCCTTTGGTCTTGTCGTGACACTTTTCGGGTCCAAATCGGGCGTCTGCTGGTCCACACGCTCAGCCCTGCACTACCTCTGTCTGAAAGAAAGGAGGCGCTAGAGTTTGTGTTTGATCACAGACATTTGGACATCCTCAAAGAGAGTCTCAGTCCTGGTCTAGAGGTAAGTAAATGAAGAAGTTGGTTTGTTTGGCTAATGGTTCTGTGCTTAAAGTTGGTTAGATATTTTATTGAAAAAAAAAATGCATGCCAAACATTCGAGGCAAACCAATAGCAGCAGCAACCTTAAAAGTTACATAGTGCCCCATAGTTTAAGCTTGTATTGTCACATAGACTTGCTATACCGTATTTTGGTTAATTTTCTGCTTGTTCTGTGCCAAGTTATTTTCATGTTAATATTTATGAAACTGCAATAACTAGTTTTCTAACACTCTTTCAGCTCTTAGGCTCTTAGCTTTTTCAAATTGCTCAAAATAAGAAAGTAAACACATTTGTTTATTTCCCCAGCCCAACTTTAATTGATTTAGTTAATACTTTGATTTCATGTCTGCTTTCTGTTTTTCAGCATGGTCCAAAGTTGTCGTTGTACCTTTACGAGATGCTTCACGATCACAAAGACAATTTAACCAAAGATGAACAAAACGCAGTGGCTGTTTTCATGACATCTCTGAAGCTCTGTGGTCATCGCTGTATCCCTCCCAACTCTCCACATAAGAAAGACTTACTCAAGGCCATAAAGGAGGTTAGACAACAACCACTGTAAACATGTTACATAAGTTTTACATGTGTCAATAATGGAGCCTTTATTTAAACAGGAAAAATTCAAGTACGAAGCAGAAGAGAAAACAAGCAAAGTTGCCTGGGAAAAGAAAATGGCCAGTTCCCAGAAAAAGTAAGTAATTGTTTATCACCTTTGACTAGTAATAAACCTTTAAAATTAAGATGATTAATTTTTAGACACATGCAAATGTTCATTGATTCACTTGAGATGTGACAAGTAAACACTGAGTACAGATGTCAGCTTTGCAAATCAGATGCTTTTTCCTCTTCTCCATCTCAAATATATTGCTTAGTTAAAACATAATTTGAAATCTTCAGAAATTAAACAGATTTAATTTATCAATAATTTCTGAATATCAGTTAAGAACTTTATTAAATGAGCTTGAAATTCCTGACTATTTTGATAAGATCATAGTTTTTCAAAAGTAATACAGATTTTTTTTTGTATAATGGCAAGGTCATTCTAACCCAATTCTTATTTGTTTGCTACAGTCTTATCCAGAGGCTGGATGGGAAGTCTAAGGACATTTCAAAGATTGCGGCTGATATCACTCAGAACGTGTCTCTGCGTCAGGGCATGGAGATGAAGAAGGTGATCCAGCACATCAGGGGCCTCTATAAGACCGACCTGAGCGCCAGCAGACACTGGCAGGAGCTGGTGCAGCAACACACACACGACCGGTGGGAATTTTACTTTTAGTACTGGATTCTGTACTGCAGGGGCTTTAAGCAGAAATAGTTTTTCTATTTTGCATCATGTCTAATCATCAATGTTATGGTATACAACAACCCTCTGTCAGAAAAAAACATGTGGTTTGAGGAAATAAGGTGACAGTTTTATTGTGTTTAATCTCATTGATTAAAAGTCTGAATTGTTTATGTGTTGTAAAATCAATACTCAAACACATTTTTTACATTCTGACATTTAGATCAAATCTAAATTGAAATTGATCAATATGAGGAAATAAATCATTTGACATTTTTATTGCCCAGTCTTAATTTATTATTTTATTTTCAAAAAAAAAAAAACTCAAACGGTGCTTCACAACATGACAAAAATAATATGTTTTATTTTTTTATTTTCTAGAGCTGTATGGTACGACCCAACCTCTTACCCCACGTCCTGGCAGCTCGACCCGACCGAGGGCCCAAACCGAGAGCGGCGCCGGCTGCAGAGATGCTACCTCACCATCCCCAACAAATACCTGCTCAGCGACCGACGCAAACCTGAAGGTGCATCTAGGGTTATATACTCTGTGAAGTACTCTTATTATGATGCCTGGAGACCTGTCTGCTTGACTCTGTGAGGTACATTTATTCTTGTGTCACCTTGAGTAACTCTAGCACTGTGTTTTAGACCCCGTCAAGTCCCCTCTTTCGTTTTTATTTGAGGAAAAGACACACTCCTCTTTCTCCTCCACCGTGAAGGACAAAGCCACAAGTGAACCCATCAGGTACAAATATATTTCTTATTTTGTCTTTGTAAATATTGTCTACCTCTGTCTGTCTGTTTTTTATATTTAATCCATTTCTTGCCTGTTTTGTAAGAAGATGAGAAAGTACACAGATCAGCCATAACGACCACCAACATCATCAGCTTTTGAACATATCACTTTTATTTGGACAATATATATAATAAGAGCATGATTAGCAATACTTCACTGCCAACCTCAAGCAATCATATGCCATTCTGCAGTTCAGTAATGTTTGAATAAGTGACATCTATTCCTACACTGGTGTTGGTTCATCCCTAAGTTTTACTATTATTGACAATGCTCTCACTATTTTATATCGCATACCTTTAAAACTGCCATGTAAGTGCCATCTTGTAGACGATGCCCATCTCTATAGACAGGCTGTCATAATGTTTTACCTGATCTGTATGTGTCTTTATATTCTGGTCTGGAAGAGGCGACAGGAGGAATATAAATGTCTTATAAACTGGTGCTCCCTCCACGGTGGTTTGTACTTTTCTATTTTCTCTTATAAAACAGATCTTTTTGTGTCGGCAGGTTCACCAGGCGCTGCATTAGTGTCGCCCCCTCCAGAGAGACTGCGGGGGAGCTGCTTCTGGGTAAGACTCTGCACATAATAAACCAAAGGACCAGAGTTATACTGTGTCAGCCATTAGAGGAGATTACAGCCACTTTTCTCCCATAGAAGTGTTTTTATTCTGAGGGACTAAGGGACAGCTCTGTTTGTCTAAATCTTAGTTCATCAAATCTCTCTCTTTTGCCTCACAGGGAAGTCTGGCATGTACTTTGTGGAGGATAATGTATCAGATGCCCATGACAATCAGGTAATACTAATCTTAAGACATAAATCTATAAAGTCATGCTTTTGATAGCACTGGTTTGAATGGACTATTCAAATCATTGTAATCATATTTTGAAAACTGTCATCTGGACCTTAAAGGACACTAAAACACATGCCAAAAGACGTACAACCAAAACAGCAGCATTAGCAAATCAAAAATAAACCTTAGGCAATTAAAGAAATACTTAATAATAAGAAGAAATAGTTAACTACTGAAATAATTGTTCATTGGTTGGTTATTTATCTTTGCTTTGTTTTCTGCCACACCTTAGAAAGTTATGGTTAAATTTTTTTACTTTTTATGAATTGTCTGTGCAGGGTCACTTATGTATAATGATTTTTAGAAGTGTGGCCAATTTATCTTTTGAAAACCTTGGGGTATCTAACTGCATTTGTTTGGAGTTTTGATTAAAAGAAAAAATATATATATATTACTTGTGCTTGGTTTGCGTGTGGATGATTATGTAATTTAGTTAGTTTATTTTATTTATTTTTTTTATTTTTAGTTTTTTTAGTTTATTTTCTTCAGTCATTTAACATTATCATACATCATATTACAGTGATTTAACACAAAAAAAATTATGCAGTAAGGTTATTCTACAGACCAAAGCGGTTTAGGCTGAAGTTTAACACTTATTTTGCCTAACCCTATTAACATATAGAACATAATACAAGACGGCAGAACTGTTTACAGAAAACAACACAAAACTCATCTTTTGAGTGCAGGAAAGAAAATGTCCCTAAATCTTTTAGTATACACATACACAATACTGAACACAATCCAATATACGTCGATGTTCATACACACACACACACACACACACAGTGACCATGTCCATGTTAATATTTATACCTATTGGTTTATAAATACACTTACATATATAAATATAACTGAAGGTCACAGTTATTCTGTAAGTTCCATGGGCTAAAATATGATTTGTTGTATTTAACTCAGAGTTTAAATTTATCTCAGTTTTATCGCTAAATGTAACAGCATATTGACTGAAATTTTAGAAATCAGAGCTACTTTTGCTACATCCCATGTGTTGTCTTGATTGTCTTAGTTTTCTATTGCATAACTTTATATTTGCTGTGTAAAACCCCAGCCACCTGTTACACTTGTATTTTGTTTTGAACAGAGCCTTCATGGCGAGACTGAAGCCCCATCTTTTTCCTGGACGTATGAAGAGATCAAAGAAGTGCACAAACGCTGGTGGCAACTCCGAGACAACGCAGTCGAAATATTCCTGACCAACGGCCGGACCCTACTGTTAGCATTTGACACCACCAAGGTATGGTAAAAACAAATTATTATTCAAATTGTTTGTGGGTTGAAAAATTACTATTGCAGATATTTTAATTTAGTTCTGCCAAAAAGACAAAATTGGTTTTCCTTGAAATGGGCAGGTGCTACAAACAAGCTATTCTCTGCGGTAATGAAATATGGAAATATGGGTGAATGGAAAATATGTGATTTTGAAAAAACTACCAGATAAAAAGCTCCACAGAGGCTGGAAAAGCATGAGTCAAGATAATCAGACTGGAAGAGAATGAAAGAAAAATGGCTTGTATTTTTGTACGAGGGGAATGCTAAAAATTTTAATGACTAATAGTTCATATTGTTAAGCTTTTTTTATCCACTATATTACATTCATTAAGCCTGTGTTAGATTTGTTGTGGCTTCTTTGTCCTTTAGAAAGATAAAAAAAAATTACCATATTCTGATTAGATTTTCAGCTGAATTTACCAATGGGCTGAGGAATAAATGACTAGTTTCCTGGATCAAGATTTTACAAAGATTTAGATGAAGGTATCTCTATTATCTGTTATACATTCATGCATTATATTGAATTGCAAATTTCTAAGCAGTAATTTTACTATTTTGTTGCCGTGGAATGGCCCAAAGCAAAGATGACTGCATAAACCATGAGGCATTGTTTAGATTCAGCCATTATGAAGAATTTACTGCTAATTAACACTCTAATAACAACTCTATTATTTTGACCTATGCCCTGTGTCAAAAGCTACATTTTAAAGTCACTATCTGCGTGTTTATTTGATTTTTTTTCACCAGTAGATGGCAGATATGAAACCTGTTCCTCCGTCCTCTCACCTGTCCTTTGTTCAGCCTCACCTGTACCCTATGATATTTTTCTGTCAGACCAAAGCTGGCAACTATCTGACTGCAGTAACATAGATTGCATCTTGTGGTGATCTGTGAGAATACACCAGGGGCAGGTCACCTAATCTAATTACAAATGGTATCTGTAATGGCTGGGGGCATAATGTAACTTTTCTGGCATAGGTGTGCCACTTGACTTGGTCATAAAGGTAAAGATCCATGTTACTGCTTTGCCTTGAAAGTTGGCATTAAACATATCTATCTTGTATTTAATCAATTACAGCTTTTGTTAAGCCCCTTAGTAAGGCTGTGCAATTAATCAAATTTTGATCGCGATTTAAATTTTGTGTGTCAAATTATCTCCAAACTCATATAATCGAGTTGAAACGAAAGCTTAACAAAGTTTATTTTGGGATTTTTAAAATCAAAATACATATATTTATTTATGTTTTTAAATATAGATTGCAAAACAGCTGGATATAGAGTTTATTTTGATACATTTATGTTTTTCTATGCCTTATTATTCTATAACCTTATTTCAGGTTCAGAGTATATTTTATTAATTTTTTGTTTATACATTGCAAAACTGCTCGAAGATACATATTTGTAGCCTATATTTATTTTCAATTTGAAAGTTTTGTGTAAATTATCAATTACAAAGTGTTTGTTTTTTGGGGGGGAGAGAGAAAGGTTGAATAAATGCATTGTGTAACTAAAAAATAGTCATTTGAATAGGCGTGATTTCAATATTGACCAAAATAATCAGACAAGATAATACCAGAGCAAACTTAGGATATCATTATATTTGTAATTAAAATGTCTTCACCTGCATTTTACACTGCTTATCATTAAATCCTACCAGGCCAACATGCAGAAAAAAAACCCAAAAAGCATTACATTATATTATTCTTGTTTCTTATTTGTAGTTCCGTGACGACGTGTACCACAACATCCTCACCTCTGACCTCCCAAACCTGCTTGAACACGGGAACATCACGGCCCTCACTCAGCTGTGGGGGTCCGGACAGATCTCCAACTTCGAGTACCTCACTCACCTCAACAAACACGCAGGGCGCTCCTTCAATGACCTCATGCAGTACCCTGTGTTCCCTTTCATTCTGAGAGACTACACCAGTGAGACGCTGGACCTGCAGGATCCAACCATCTACAGGTCAGGACTGCACAATATGTCACAATCAAAGCAAAATCGCAAATTGCAAAGGCTGCATTATAGATAATAGAATCAATGTCCTCTGCAAAAGCCTTAAAATCTCCTTAAAATCTTGTCCTGTAGACCTACAAACATATTCTGAAATGCATGGGATTTTTCAGTCTTCTCTCAAATGTTAATGCTCCTGGAGTTGTTTAAATTGTGCACTCTAAACTTTTTAAACGTATCTAATCACAATCACATCCACATTTTTTCCAAAATCATACAACCCTGGTTTGATTGTGAGGTTCAGACTTTAAATTACTTTTTTGTTAATATTTTATCCATGTTCCAAGTTTTTGTTCAGAATCCAGAATCTACTTTTTCTTTGTTAAATCCTGGTTCTGTCTTAGTATTATTTTACTTTATCTTGGAAACCATTGTACGTTTGTTTAGGGGCATAAAAAGTATCTTAATTTTTTTCCATAAAAATGTGTGCCTAAAACCCACAGAAGAACCAAGGGCAGTTAGTTTTATTACTGATGAAACTTCTTGGTTCACATGAGTGTATTTCTTTGCAGGAACCTGGTCAAACCTATTGCTGTTCAGTCAAAGGAGAAAGAGGATCGCTATGTGGATAATTATAGAGTAAGTCTTCTTGCTTGATTTAATGAAATGGTACACACACAATGTTAGATTACCTTCTATCTGGCAGCCACAGCACTATTCGTTTACATGACGCCGCAAGTCACAGGCACTAAATTATGTATTTGGTTCTTGACGTCTCATTTATGTTTTACCGTTGATATTTTACTGTGGATTTAAATTGGCTGCAGTGACTTCGCTAGAACCAAATGGGGCTGGGCTATAAATCTGTATATCTAAATATTCCTACTCATCTAGTTACAAACACTGACACACAATTATTTCCCCTCATGTGTCTGTTGTCAGTGTCAAGTTTAGCACTCTTAATTGACGTTTTTGTTGCCATAGATAAAGGTTTACTGTGTAACTTTTCTGGTTGGAGGTGGGTGAGCCTTGTTGTTTTGCCATCATTCCATCATATAGCATTAAACTTATTTACAAATCGTTTGTTTCATTACCGATGGTTTTATTGCTTGAAAATACCTTAATGACGTGTTTTCTTACAAATCTGACCGTTAACTTTGCTACCTGCATTTGTCCATGGAAATAGATAAGATCAATACAATACTGTGGAACATTTTGTGCAGAGAAGTAATATCTCCATGGAGACAAGCATGTGGCAAACCCTTTATCAGAAACATCACACAGTATACCTTTAATATGACATGATTATTTTACATATCTACATTTGGTTTACAATATTCAAACTTCATGGGGCCTAAAACATAACACTCGTTCTCTGTCTCTCTGTCTCTCTCTTGTGCAGTATCTTGAGGAGGAGTACAAAAAGGGTATTCGTGAGGATGACCCCATGCCCCCGGTGCAGCCCTACCACTACGGCTCGCACTACTCCAACAGTGGCACCGTTCTACACTTCCTGGTCCGAATGCCCCCTTTCACCAAAATGTTCCTGGCCTATCAAGGTGAGTTAAACTTAATCAGTGCTTTTCCTGGTTTGCCCTGGTTCAGTCCTCAGGGTTCCCACAGTAATGAAAATGTCATGGAAATTGAAAATGTCATCTTCCAGGCCTGGAAAGTCATGGAATTTTAGTATCTCTTTCACGCAACTACAGCGTTCTGTTAAGTTTTCATTAGGCTATTATGATTATTTCCGAACATATGCGTCTTTTGTTTAAAAGAGGTGACAATAAATGCACTGACAATATTTTTAATGTTAAAAAAAACTAACCATAAGGTGAGTGGAAAGGGTTAACATGTCATATTTAACCCTAAAAGTCTGATCAATTCTACATATGTAGGTGCCGTAAAGTCATGGAAAATTCACTTAAGGTCATGGAAAAGTCATGGAAAAGTTTAGAAATTTTGTCAGTCCCGGTTTGGCACTGGTCCAGTTCTGGTCCAGTACTGGTTTAGTCCTATGTCTGTACTGTACTTGCTCAGTCCTGGTTCAGTCTTGGTTCAGCCCTACATTAGTCATGAGTACATGAGTACTGAGTTTAGTCTCAGTTTTTTCCTGGTTTAGCTCTTTTTAAGTCTCAGGTTTGTCCTAATTTAGTCAAGGTTTACAACTTGTTAACTTAGCTTTGTTTAGGTTCATCTTAGACTGGTCTGTTTCACTGTTCGTGTGCTTATTTCTTAATGCATTTTGCATAATTTATCTCAGCCTTGGTTAGTCCTGTTTTTTCATCTTTTTTTATGATGTTTTTGAGTATACTTATACCTGTGTCAACTGGGTGGTCTTTTGTGGGTTTTTAATAGCAGGCAATTACCATAGACCTCCAAAAAGCTTTTAGCTGCAGTGAGTGCCACCTGCCTCCATTTTGAGGGGGGCTTTTAGCACCAAATGCTAAATATTTGAATCTCCAATACCACATTATGTCACTTGCCCTCAGAACACCTACTTATTCTTTTAAAAGTGTTACCTCTGATCCGCCCTTGCCCTTTCTATTAAAACTCCCATCAGATTAATTAGTATTTCAATCGTCTTTAAGTCTCCTTGATCTTCTGGGACGTCTTTTTATCATTTCAGGAATATATTCAGGGTGTGTGCAGAGGTCTTAAAAGGGGCAATTATCAGACAGTGGGTGAATCTTTAATATTGTGTCTTTGTTCCCGGTTCAGATCAGAGCTTTGATATTCCCGACCGTACTTTCCACTCCATGAACACCACGTGGCGCCTGTCGTCCTACGAGTCCATGACCGACGTCAAGGAGCTCATCCCGGAATTCTTCTACCTCCCAGAGTTCCTCGTCAACAGAGAAGGTAGTCTTACTGTGAAGTGTAATCGGCTAACAAGCTAAAGGTGCACTGTGCAACTTTTCAGGTATAGAGTCCACCCCCACTAGAGACTCCTTTGAGATGTTATTGATTTACCTCAAAAATCTACGGCATTAAACTTATCCAACTCCATGGTGACAAAGGGGTAATTCATCAGGTTATAGGTCAGCTCTGCGATGAGGAGACACTGATCAGAAGAAGAATGCATGCTTGTAAGGTATTTTGGACCAATAAAAGTAAAATGTAAATTCTGTGGAACATTCCAGGAAAAGCAATAACATCTCCATGCAGACAAACAGCTGAAAAGTGACGTAGTGTACCGTTTATCTTTCACCACAATAGAATACAATGCAATACTTTTTGTGCAGTTTTGGTACATTCTGTTTTTACATGTTCCACCTCGCCCAATGGCTACAAATGGAAACAAGCTGCATAGATGATACTGGCACATTTACAGAATTAATTTACGGTCTCATTTCTCCCTCAGGTTTTGACTTTGGAGTCCGTCAGAACGGGGAGAGGGTCAATCACGTAAACCTACCCCCCTGGGCGCGCAATGACCCTCGACTATTCATCTTGATCCACCGCCAGGCTCTGGAGTCGGAGCACGTGTCCCAGACGCTGTGCCAGTGGATCGACTTAGTGTTCGGCCTCAAGCAGAAAGGAAAAGCTGCTGTACAAGCCATCAATGTATTCCACCCAGCTGTAAGGATCCCAGCTTCTGCACTGAATATTATGAAAAGACAAAGACTACAACTAACCAATACTTTAGTAGTTGACTAGTCAGCATTTTTCTGATTAGTGATCTAGTCATACCATTATTTCTATTGTGTATTTTTAATCTGATCAAGGTTGAATTATTGTGACTCAAGGCTTCTACATAAAAAATGTTTGGATTAAGTGTATTATTGATAAAAATCATAAATTATGTAATGCAGCTGTCTTAGTCATAAAAGATATTGTGGCTGCGTTCACACTTGCACACAAACCCTGTCTAAACTCAGAATAAATTGCAACTGAACTGGAAATAAAACCCAGACTAGATCAAAACTAAACCAGGACTACAACAGTGCAATCACCAAACCAGCACAAGTGTGAACAGTGTGATTTTCAAAGTATGAGTATGATTATGTGTGTGTGTGTAGTCCTTACAGTTTCAGAAAGCACTCCTTTAGTTAGAGTTTTCTGATGATTTGTTGTTTGGCAGACTTATTTTGGCGTGGACGTGTCGGCAGTGGAGGATCCAGTGCAGCGTCGTGCCTTGGAAACCATGATCAAAACATACGGCCAGACGCCCAGACAGCTCTTCAGTGCGTCCCACATCAGCCGCGCCGGGACCAGGCTCATAATGGAAGGGGAGCTGCCCGCTGCCATGGGCCTGCTGGTGCAGCTGGCCTTCAGAGAGACCAGGGAGCAGGCCAAAGAGATTGTGTGCCCGGTAAGAACGCCGCTCTGGCCACTGCCGAGATAATTTAGCACAGTTGATGAGGAACCATTTAGCATTGTTCATGGTAGTAACTCAGTCTTTATTCTTAACTATTTTATGTTATGCTATAGTTGGTATTAGAAACAAACTAGTGTATCTTGGAATATTGAACCCACTTAATTTTACTGAAATGGTTAATTTGGTCCATAAGGATTTATAGTTAATAGTGAATATATTTTTACAGACACAGTTACTCTAAGAATAGCACAAGGTAGACAAATAAATGTACAAATAAAAGAAAGCTAAAACAATCTAGTGCAGGCTACTTCTTAAACTACAGTCTGGCGTTATATAACATTCTGCAATATAATGCCAGTAAATGTCCAGTTTCTTATCCAGTCGGTTTATTCCCACAGAGCCCTCTTCCCTGGATCAAAGGGCTGAAATGGGGGGAGTACGTGGGGTCGCCCAGTGCCCCTGACCCTGTGGTGTGCTTCAGCCAGCCTCACGGGGAGCGCTTTGGGTCCCTGCTCGCCCTGCCCACCCGCGCCATCTGTGGACTGTCCCGCAAGTTCTGCCTCATGATGATCTACAGCAAGGAGCAGGGTAAGACCTCCACTGAGCCTCAAGATGTTATGCTAGCAATCAATAAAATCAGATCCAATGTTTAACCTGCACTATGTTGCTCTTTATCCGACCACACTACAAAAGCTGTAAAATTGCATTCTGCTTTGCGACTGAGACGCACAGCGGAAATGTTGCAGCAACATCAAAGGCAACAGTTTGCTGCTGCAAAACTTGAATTTCCCTCTGGATCAATAAAGTATCTTGCTCAAATTATTGCTCTCTATCTTTCTCTCTCTTATCTCATTGGCCAAATGTATAGAGAGAAATCAGATGTATCTTGAATAATCTAATCATCTAGATAAAAATAATCTACACTCAATACTCAAATAATTTTATCTACTGCTACTACCATTTAAATGTTAAGAAGATAAGTTAAGTTTTGGGGTAATACTTTATAATAACAAACATATTATCGGTAATAAAACATACAGCCACTGCTCTGTGCTCAATTTTTTAATCTGTACTTACTTTGTTCTCCAATTATATTTTCTTAATCATTGATACACTATGATTTTTCAGCATCACATCGTAATTTTAGTACAAGTTAAATAAAAATCCATGGCTCTGTAGCGTGTTGTTTATTGTAATGACTTTCAATATCTGCTCCCATTGGGCGCTGCGGTTTTCTAACATGGAAGTCAGCAGATGTTTTTCTTTTATTATTGTTTTACGTGAATATTGCAATTTAAAATGTGCAAATTATAACACAGCGGTCCACAGCTGTCGTAGATTATAATTATATAGCAGGCCCAAGCACAATATGTGTTCTTTAAGGCTGATTAAGGTGTATTCATTATAAAGTCTATCCTGATTTTGCTGTTGTGTTAAGTAACATTGTTTTGTTTTTCTCTTTAAAGGGGTCCGGAGCATGCACAGTACAGACATCCAGTGGTCTGCCATACTGAGCTGGGGCTACGCAGACAATATACTGAGGCTGAAGAGCAAACAGAGTGAACCACCCATCAACTTTATCCAGTGCTCCCCACTTCACCTGGTAATTATTGAAAATGCGTTATGTTATTATAACCGATGATGTAGCTCAACACAAAGGGAGAGATGGGAATAAAATATGATGTGACTTGAAACAAATCAGGTACAGTTAATTTATAGCTGCACCATAGTTAGACTTAATGAAGCATGAAAAAAAGACTTGGTTCATAATGAACAAATTAAACTAAAGTATACTAAACTAAGAACAGAGTTAGAGTATTAATAAAGTAATTAAGTAGTTATTAAACCTGAATTACTCTTACTCTTAATAAAAAAAAAAAAGTCCTTATCAGTTAAGTCTTTATTAAGGCTTTATTAAAACTATTAGAAGTTATTATAAAGTGTTAACTTGTATCTTAATTTGGACAGGGGTCTTTCTGATCTATCAAAAAAGGTATATGAATGTATATATTTCACATTTTCACTTGTAAATCCTCCATGACTTTGTTCTCTTGCTAATACAGCAAGCCTTAGAATAGGACAAGTGTTTTGTTTATGTTTATTGTAAGCACCACTCAAGTTTAGCGCTGATAAGTACAATGTATTTGCAAGGAGTGTTGATAAGAACGGCTTAGAATTAATTTCCATATTAATGACAGACTGTCTTATCCTCTGGAGGATGTAATCCCCAATAACATTGAGTCGTTTGAACTACGGTTACATTTTTCCATTGTTTATTTGTTGTTAGTTTGGTATCAGACTTATTCATTTGGCGGTAAATTTCCAAATCTCATTTTATACATTTAACCAAAAAAGCAAATATGTTATAAGATATGTTATTTGCATTAAAGGTGTATTATGTAACTTCTCTGATGACGGGTCTCCATGGAAATGTTGTTGCTTTGCCTGGAATGTTTCTCATTATGCATTTTTGATATGTTAGTTTTAAGGTATTTTTGAGAAATAAAAACGACACAAGTTTTTTTCCTATGTCAAATTTATATATTATTGAGAAAGCGGCATTCAAACCAACCAAACCAAAAATCCCAGAAATCACCTCAAAATGGTTTAAAAGTGAGAATAGTAAAATCAACAGAGTAGATGTTTTGTGAACTTTGGGTTGTTTTTTTGCACCTGTGCTAAATTACAGCCTTCCCTTTTACACAGTCTGTAAAACACCATGTCGTGTCCCTATGATTTGGTGTTCACTCAGCCCCAGTTCAAATGAAAGTCCTTCTCCTCTTTCTCCTCTCTGCTCCAGGTGACCAGCTGTGCCTGGGTGCCCGATGGATGCCAGCTCTTTACGGGCAGCAAGTGTGGAGTCATCACCGCCTACAGCAACCGCTTCACCAGCACCACGGTGAGTCTCCATGGCAACGGCCCCCTTTAACCCGCGGCCCGCTCCTCGCCACCGGTCCACCCACCTCCTCCCATCACCCCCCTCTGCTCCTCTTATCCAGATCGGGATCATGCATCACTAAAGCAATGTTATGGGAGAAATCGCTTTTTGGCAAGCAGAAAGCCATGTTTGTAGAATTATATTAGAAAGAAATATGAAAAGCAAGAGTGCAGTAATGTCCCAGATACTAAGTGATTCAACTCTTAGTATTACAGCTCGATACTCATTTGAGCAGGTGCATATCAATACTAACGAAATCACTTAAATAAGACAAAATCCCTTAAGTCCTTTAGTAAATTAATTGGTTGACCACGTTTTTAATTGGTAGACTAATTATTTTACTAGGATTACAAGGATATATATGGATCACAATAAAAAGGAGAATGTGTGGAGTGAGTTTTGCTGAAGTTTTTGACGTTAGAGTACACACATATAACATAGAAACAGGAAGTGAACTAGAATTTTTTATTTTTTTTAATTAGCCAAGACTATACCAGAACTAAACCACATCTAGAACAAGACTAAACCAAATCTACATTAAGACCAAGGGTGTAGGTTTGCATACGGGACATGTCACAACCAATATTTGGGGAAGACAAAATAGTCACTACTAATATTTGTCATTTAATTTTAATAAACAAAAATATATATTTATTCTGATATTTTTCCAAAGTCATTAGTATTAATTTAACATGCTTTAGTTCAAATTTTTTCATTAGATGTTCTGAGATGTATTCAGTGATATGACGACAGGGTTACCCCTGCCATTATTTTATTGGCTGCAACAGAGTGATATCATTAGTGGAGTCAGAAGCCTAAACTGGGGAAGCGGCAGGACCTCGAGGGCCAGCTCCTGAAGATGGCGGCTTGAGGCAAGAAAAGCTTTTCAAAAGGAACTTATTTGGCTTCATCTTCAATTAAACTTGCCTGATAAAGAGTCGCCATGGAAAAAGAGCGACTATCGCCACATGACACCTCTTAAACGGCACCCTACTCGTGCGCTGTTAGCAGCCAGACTCTACTGACAATATTCCATGGAAAAATGTACGGACATAACCTCACAAATATCTCATCACCAACAAGTAAAGGGAAATCTTTTACATCACTGTTATCCAGTAAAGAATCATCTTAGAAGGGCAATGGACACTAACTGTACATTTTGCGAACTGAAAAATGAAACACCTCTCACTTATTTTGGACCTGTGTGTTTTTGGAGAGAATTCATAAAACATATGAGGGGTAGGTTAGCTGATAATGTCCTCGCCAAAGCTGAGACCAAACCTACGCCTTTGATCAGGACTAAACCAGGACTGTAAGGAGAAGCTAGTATTCCTGTATCATTAGGTACAGAAAACATTTAAATAGGACATCCTTAATTTATTTACTGTGTAGGTTAGTGACAAGGTTAACAATCCCACTGTATTTTAGAGCAAATTTAGCAACCCACCTTCCATTTCATCTCAGTACTGCAGGCCTATGAAACATTATGTCGTCACCTGAAAGCCGCCTGCCCTCCCTGCTCTCTTGACCCAGGCGCAGGGTTCTTCATTAGGCACATCACAGCTGCCCTTGAAACGCATCTCAACAGCTCAGGACTCAGGAGTGGGATTAGGGGTCGCGGAGTTCAGTCATCAGAGCCGAGCGCAGGTTTCTACCCACTCATAGGGATTTTGAAAAGCAGTTGATAAATTAGCACGAGAGATGGTGTGCAAAGGATGAATATAACTCAAGTGCTGTGCCAGAGTAGTATATTTTTGTCTCCATCAGTTTTCAAAACGTTGTTCAAATAAGACACTAGGATTGTAGGTAGGGCTGCAAAATAAAATGCTAAATTGTCTGACGCAAGAACCGATACTGCAAGAAAATAAATATATCACAATAAGGCAAGGTTTTATAGGAGTTTTTGAAAGAAAATTGATAAAAAAGATAGATAGTATTCATGATTTTCCATTTTAGCTTTTACTTGGGTTAGTCTCGGTTTAGTTTCTGTTAAATGATAACTTTAAGCGAGTTTGACTATTAAATGAAAGCATGCACATTTCTTGTTTTAATTTAACTGATCGCACTGTGCTAAAATATATATTAAAATGTCACAATAATATAATTATCTCAGTAGAGAAAATGGTTTCCTGTAGCTCTAGTTGTAAGCATTTTGTAGATTAGTCATTTAATTTGTTGATGGTAGGGATGGACAACCAATGAGTTACTTTGTTTCAACTTGGTTCGTTTTGAGACGCATCAGAGTCAATCTGTAAAAAAATACAGATATTCTGCATTTCCTTGGCAAGACATTTAGACCATTTCCCAATGCCATGCCCATTTTTAGTTGGCTTTGACTTGAATTCAATTTTCAGCTTTGACGATTTGTTGATTGTCTCTCTCCTCTTTTCACTTCCATTTCACTCTTTCACTTGCTCAACAACAACAAAACAAAACATACGACATGCAACAAACACTACAGGCTGAAAAATAACTATGGTTAAATACCTAGTACACTATAGCATGTGTTATGTTTCCTCAGCCGTCAGAGATGGAGGTGGAGTCGCAGGTCCATCTGTACGGACACAGCGCAGAGGTCACCAGTCTGTTTGTGTGTAAACCCTACAGCATCCTCATCAGCGTCAGCAGAGACGGCACCTGCATCCTCTGGGACCTCAACAGGTCAGAGACAGCTAAACTTTTAAACGGTTTACTCAGTTGTTTATTCGTGTGAGATTATTTGGCATAAGAACATAATAAAAGGTTGAAATGGACTATACTCTAGTATTAGTAGATAATAGAACCTATTCCACCTGTGCCAAGACAAAGTACAAAAACAGCATAAAGATGAATAACTCTTGTAAACAAACAGACCTAAATCCAAATGTCCAAATGTGTTATTGGTGATTCTGGTGAGTGGTTTATGTTTTTCACCAAATTGATTCTTCTTTAAGACATGTTAAAATGATGTTACCTCATAGCTGTTTCATTCACACTTTTGAGTAATCCTGGATTATTAGTTTGTTTTAATCTCCAAATCTCAAAATGCACTGCTCCACCTTGTGATGTCATGTAGTGGTAGTTTTCAAGTTAACGTCTACCTTTTTTACCTTTAGTTCAGTAGAGAGTAGCAGTTCCAGGGCTGAAATCACTCAAATTATTCTAGAGAAAGTGGAGTTTTAAACCAGAGTAACATTTCCTGTGTTACCACATGACATCACAAGGTGAAACAGAGTGTTTCCGTTTGAGAGCTGAACTCACTCTAAATATGCAGGTTTGTGTGTTTAAATATGTGTAAATGAAATAAAACACAACTCCAGGTGTGGTTTTGATGAAGAAACATTATAACACAGATCAGAAAATAGTGTAATATGCGCCCTTTAAGTTGGAACCACAAAAAATAAATCCATTAGTGTTGTGTATTTTGTTTGTAATCGTCCTCTGTGTTTTCAGGTTGTGTTATGTCCAAAGCCTGACAGGTCACAAAAGCCCAGTGACTGCTGTGTCTGCGAGCGAGACGACCGGAGACATCGCCACAGTCTGTGACTCAGGTACTGTCTCTGAGCCAGGACAATATTACATTACACATCATTACACAATATTTACCTATCAGGTTCACAGCACTTCAGAGGACACTGTGATGACCCCTAATAGTCAAATATTCTCCCTGCATGCTCCTAAAAACAAACTGGACAGTACACTGGCATTACAAATCTAGAGTAAAATTATTGCCCTCATAAATAAGATGAGGAATAAACTGGAATTAAAAAAATGAATAAGGCAATAAGTGAAATTTACTCCAAAGCTGTATTCAATAAAATTATTTAAAGATGTTGTGTGTCACCGTAGTCTTGTATAAACCAGTATGAGATGCTGCTTTATGTATTATCATATCATATAAAAATAAATAAATAACTTCCTTAACCTTGATTCCCAAATTTCTTAGTGACAAATGAATAACACAGATGAAACATCGGTGCTTCACTATCTATTATTACACCAGACTGTCGATGTAAATGTCTGTGTCGACAGAATAATGTTTGAAATAAAATTAACCTTGCATTACATGAATCGTCGCATGTTCAGGGACTATTTTCTCAGCAGCAGCGAAATTTTACTTTGCCGGTAAGATAGGTGCTAGGTCATATCAGTCCGCCGCTACCAAGCTTTCTATCAGGAAGTACAAGTCGCTGCTGCTGCTCAAACATAAATCCTTCAAATGCAAGTTTAATTTTACATCTGAAATTACTCTATCAACACAGACATTCACATCGACACTCTGGTATAATAATAGATTTACTTCGGGTGCTTTGTGGAGTGGGTAAGACTGTTTTTAGTAGCAGGATAACTATGGCCATTGACATGCACTAGCCTAGCTCCAGCGACCTCTACAAATACAAGGACTGGATGGAATATTTTAAAAAGTGTCTCCACACGTCTCCAACACTCTGGCGCACTAGGAAATATGGTCCTATGTCCAAAATTCCGGACTGTCCCTTTAAATTCCATGAACCTTTGCTAGAATCATTTCGATAATTCCAGCCCTAGATTTGCCAATCACTTCTGCGCATTCTGAGCTTTGGAAAAAAAACAGACTAACAATAAATGGTTACTCAAACAGGTGTGAATCAAACAAAACACCATGTATGTTTTTTAGGACGTAACAACATTGTAACATGGATTGAGGCTCATAAGAGTCAGATTTGTGTAATATGGGACCTTTAACTAATATATGCCATTTTGCAGAGTGTACCACTGAGTTCATCCCGTTATTATTCATCATTTTGTTCACAGTTGGAGGAGGCAGTGACTTGCGCCTGTGGACAGTGAATGGAGATTTGATCGGACACGTTCACTGTAGAGAGATCATCTGTTCTGTGGCCTTTTCAAACCAGACGGAGGGCGTGTCCGTCAATGTGATCGCAGGAGGGCTGGAGAATGGAGTGGTCAGGTACAGTGCCTTCAATAAAGATGTACTACTGTGTCATTGTGTGTGTGTTTAATAGAGATTTTCACTTTAGATTATGGAGCACCTGGGATCTGAAACCTGTGCGAGAGATCACCTTCCCGAAGTCGAGCAAACCTATTATCAGGTATCAACATAGTTGTTTACCTTTCTTTCATATCAAGTGCTACTTAAAATCAAAACAAAGTCTTTGCAAAACTTTTTTTTGTCCGTTCTACCTGGGGGGGGGGGGGGTTGTGCTTCTTTTTTCTATATTTTCTATTTATCAGGAATGATATACAAGCACATTCATCTTATAAAAGAAAAGATGATTTATACCATACCATATTTACCATATTTTTCAGACTATAAGTTGCTCCAAAGTATAAGTTGCACCAGCCAAAAAATTCATAATGAAGAAGACAAAAAACATATATAAATCACACCAGACTATAGGTCACACTTTTTTCAGGAAATTTATTTTATAAAATCAGAGACCAGGAACCAACATTTCATCTTGAAAGGCAAGTTATAGTAATAACAATAGAACAGAGAACAACAGGCTGTTAACGTCACATATGAACAGTTATTCAGATAACTATAGCATAAACAACAGAAAAAGTTTACCAAACACTCCATCTCACTCCAAATCACTAAATCCATTGAATTCTTCATCCTGGGTGTCACTTCTGAGCAACTCCGTGTCCTCCAGAGGTAAACAGAGCGCCACTTCATCTTCTGTGTAGCTGTCGTCAGACTCGGCATCAATTTCAGCCTTTCTGAATCCTGACAGGATGGTTTTGGTTGTCACTGAAGTCCAGGCTTTGACGAGTCTGTCGATCCATCCAGTGATTTCCAGGAAAGTTGCATCACACACCTCCTGGTTACCTGTGTTCTCCATCCCTGCTTTCCCCTAGTCCCTCACAAATTTCTCGCGCACTCTAAACTTTCTTTCTGCTGCTTACCATTTTCGGCTGCTTATTTTGCTACTTGCAGCAGGACAGTGGCTTTTTCTGGAGGAGACGTGGGCAGACAGTGGTACAGGAGTAATAGGAATAGCAGATACTGACACACGTGGCTGTCAGTGTGAAAATTTTAATATATAAGTTGCACCGGAGTATAAGTCGCAGGACCACCCAATCCATGAAAAAAGTGAGACTTATAGTCTGGAAAATACAGTATGTCTTTTTTACCAGGAAATAATGCTGGTGCGCTGTTAGCATGCTAGTTGTTAGCAGTGCTGTAACATTCAAAGTCCACTCTGAAAGTTGTGGTGGATAATTAGGATGCTAGGAATGTCTTTAGGAAAATAATACATTTGGAGTGCTGCAAACAATTTAAAATAGTTCTGTTTATCACATTTTAAGATGCTTTTAACTTAATGTCTTTTTGTAATGTTCTATTTTCTGTATAATATATTTAATCCAATAAATGACCCATTGATCTAACCATGTCCTATTTAATTTACAGTTTAACTTACTCCTGCGATGGGCACCACTTGTACACAGCCAACAGCGAGGGCACTGTCATGGCCTGGTGTCGTCGAGATCAGCAGAGGATGAAGCTCCCCATGTTTTACTCTTTCCTGAGCAGTTACGCAGCTGGCTGAACCCCCGCTCCTCTTCATCCAGTTTGTGCTTTCAATCTTATTTCTGGCCTTGACAAGAGCATCAGCCCCTCCTCCTCTTCCTCCTCTTTCTCCTCCTCCTCCTCTTCGTCTACATCAGCACTCGAGAGGAAGAGTCAGCATGGCCTCAACTCCCTGGACCCTCCCCGAGTCTTAATTAAAACTGTCTAAAGCTGAGCAGACTGTATCCCCCAGTCTCCACCACCATAAATGGAAATCCAATGTTTATATGGAGACGATTTTATAAATAGTTTGTGGGTGGATATTTGGAGGACTGATGTTTGCGTTGGCTGGGAGAAAAATGTGCAGACACTTTATATACATTTTTAAATGCATATTGTTTTGGGTTCATTTGAGAGGAAAATCAGTGGCATACAGCAGGCAAGATCTGGGCAAGTTGTCTAAAAATGGAGCTATAATTTCCCAGCAAATTGTTGTTTTTTTTGTTTTTTTTTACATTTCCTGCAGTTGTCAATATATTTTTCCAATTTTATTTTCCGATACGCTGCTATTGCAAAGTCAGAAAGGCACAGTGCCCTATTGTCTCTTGAGTGTGGACATCCTGCGCTTCATGGGACAGGTCGGTGCCACAGATCAACGATTGGATCAATGCTGACGCCGCAAAGATGGCCCCTCCCTCTGCGTATCTGCGAGGGGAGGAGGGGGAGACGGGGGCGCATCACCAGTGTCCCAGTCCGGGGGGGCAGAAGAATGGACTGTGCTCCCTGATGTTGCCTGTTGAGTTTTACCTTTGCATGCTCTAAGAACTCTGAGAATGAGAGATTTTTTTTTTTTTTTACCATTTTCAACACTCCTTAATGAAGCTCTGCCTTGCTTTTTGTTTATTTCAGGTCTTAACGCACTGAAATCCGTTCATAATTGTATTTATTGAAAACTGTGCTAGCCTGGCCAGGACACACTATTTACAAATTTAAGTGTGTCCTTTTGTTTTCAAGATCTATTTCATGACTAATCAAAATTATCTAACTGAGTGCATAGGTCCCTTTTTGCTGTAACTTGTTCCATATTTCCATCCAGTTCTATTCAAACAAGAAGTAATTGCATATTTCCCTTTAAATCCTACTCGAATCAGTATTTGGGACCAAATGAATTCTTAAATATTGTGATTTAAATTTGGGTGACTGGCCAGGCGTCATAACCTCTTCTGTGTACGTCGGAAAATTCTTTGTTTACTACATTTTGCTGCAAGAATTTATGAAGCTTGAAGCACTGGTGCAAAAATGAAGGTTCCACACACAAATTTTAGTTTCACTTGAGTAACAGGTTCTGCACAGGGGCCAAGATTACAGAATTAATAAGTATACTATTGAGCCCAAATCTGTTCATTCACACAGGATGAATAATGTGATTTAATTTTTCAAAATCTGTTGATCTGTCACTACTTTTTTCACATGAATTTAATTTTTCTGTCACATTTTTTTCATAGATTTTTATTTACACTATGTTAAACTATTGATTCTTGTCAGTTCCATGAATAAATTCACAATCGGGTGGTTTAGATCTGGGCTTTTCAATATTTCACTACCATTTTCACATTGTCTTTAATATGAATAAACTTGGGCTTAATTGTTTAATAATATTATACACTACATCCACCAATGTATCCTATATCGCGCAGCTTTTTTACATTCCCCACTTCTCAACATGCTGCACTTTTGAGTTTATTTCTTAAATGTAAAATGCTCAGAGCACTTTTTGTTTTGTTTAGTTTTTTGGGGTTTTTTTTGGTTACTGAATTACACGAAAGCCAATGATTTGCTGTCTGAATAGGATTGAATCACCACTAACTGCACACAAAAGCAATATCGGACATACAGTGGTATTTTGGAGGAGCTAGGAAGCTGTGAAACCAATGGTAGGACATTTCACTCTAGAAAATTGTTTACAAGAAAGGGAATTGTATTGAAAATGATGTCCAGTATTCATTCCTTATTTGTCGTCTTAATTTCCTCACATTTGTGGACACGATTTGAGTTACTGTCTGATGCTGCATGTAAGATTGTGTTTTGCTTGTGAGATACTCCTGTAGCATCCGTTTGTATGAAACTGTATGAGATTTTTGGAAGGAATTGCTAATATATTATGCTTTCTCTGAAGGAAATATAATTTTTCTGTTAATAACTTAAGCTATGCATAATTTATCCTCTAGGTTTTGCCTCTGTTGTGTTTGTTGCATTTACTGACCTCCTGAATGAGCTCTGAAAGTCTTGTATGTATTTTGTTACTGTAAATACATGTATGTGTGAATGTATGACAAAGATGTATAAATATATAAATATCTATAAATATTTGAAGTTACTACAACACTGATACTCTTGTGCTTTGTTTTCATAATACCTTATTTGATTAGTTATATGACTATGTTTAGATCAGAGATATAGAAGTAGACACTATGGTTTAGATGCATGACAAAACTTTGACCATTATCGGATTTATCAGATTTTTGAAATGTGATGTTAACCTCTATGACGTGAGTAACCTATATCTTTCTGAGCTTTCTGTGTACATTTTTACGAAGAAAATTATGGCAAAATGGGCAAACTAAACCTAAAAAACTAAACCAATATAAAAGAAAATGCTGAAGATTGAAACAGATACTCTAAAACTCTTTGTACTTTGTCTTGCAAATGCAACAGTTGCTATAAAAAGTTGATAAACTCACATGTGGCATCAGATGTTTTTAAGATCTGTTTGTCTATAGTAATTGTAAACACACCAATTAAGCCTTTCTATCTTCATCAAGACCAAACCAGACCAAGTTACACAGTAGCCTAAATGAAGTATATGTTAAAGGCTGACTATGCTATTGAATTTAGCTCAAAAACGATGGATAGGCCCGTAGTTTACTGTAGGGGGACCCAGTGATGTCAAAGCTGATGTAAAAATGAAATGGGGGAAGCCTGTAGATCTCTTGTGTCTTCTGCGGATGCAATAAACCAAATGAAAAAGCAACACTCGTCAATTTGACTAATAGCGATGGTGGTGCGTTCAGGGTCGCTTTGTGCATCGCGTTAACGCCAGTGTTGCATCTCTCCGGGCGCTTCATCGAGCTCTCCCTGCCCCACAGCCCGTGTCTACTCGTCACAGAGGTTTCCCCCCCTGCTGCATGCGTGCGTAACATCTCGTGGAGCGCGACCAAACCTCCGCCGCTCCTCCGCTTTCCTCCTCTTCCCACACGGATAACGCACGGACTCCAACCCGGGATCCATCGCTCTCCGTCGGGTTTACACTGACCAGAACCAGGCTGGGATTTCCTCTGCTTTGAGATTTGACAGATCCGGATCCGTGCGTGTGTGAGTGTGTGTGTTGGGTGGAGTCAATCCGGAATCCTCTAAATTGGATACGCGCTGGCACATTTCAGGTACGTCTATGTTCCTATATCCATCTCCATATTATCCACTAAGGCTTGTGCGTAATTTCAACTGGGATCCCTCGGTTTGCCCGCGGTATAGCTTTCTGGACGTGCATGGCTGTTATTAAGGAGCTGGGCCGCATCTTGCACGGTGTGTCCAAAGCTCCATCCATTTTCCACCTCAAATCACCGCGTTTTTTAACATTTTCGCACAACAGGCTTTTATAAACACTGTGATAACCCTTCTTTTAGACGTGAGGTGTTCGTGTGCGCGTTGAGGGTGAAGGAAGATGAGGGGAAACCCAAATGGAACAAGGCCTGGTGTTCAAGAGAGGGTGTGATTATGGCCATAAATTGTCTTTTGAGCGACACTGGAAAGGGATTTTCATCGTCAAATCCACCATATGCGCTCACTACACGCAACATATGCCTCCTAATTGCAATTTACATCAGTTTTAATCGCCTTGTAGCGTTGTAAGGGATTAAATAAATAAACAATTGGATGCGATTGATTCAACAGCACCCCACCTCTTCGTGTTTGTGTGTGGATCATACAGCACACAGCGGTGGTCAGGTGTCTCCGCTACTGAGGGTATTGATGGATGTTGCTTTCAAGTAAATCTGGGACATTTCAGATTTCAGGGGGTCATTAAAGGCCCCAGAATAAAAGCAATATGAGTGGGTTTAGTGAGATAGTGTATGCTTTGATGGTTGCAGTGCCAGGACTAGCCTACAGCTGCTCAGTGACTATATGCTATATGAAATACTGTATATCTTAAGGCTTTAGGTTACTGCATGTATTTTGGTCTCCTAAAGCCCGTATTTTTTGAATCAGAACATGCATGAAACGTACACAATGTTTCTATAGAGTCTGCAGATCATATAATGGTGAATAATGGGCCTATTGTAATAAGCAAGCAAGTGTTTTTGGCCGAGGTACTAACATCAAGTGCTCATGAAGTTCAATAAGTAGCCTATGATGTATTCACTATAAGGATGTAACAATATCCAAAATATCGTGATATTGTATCGTCAAAAGTCTCACAATAGTACCGTGGGGTGTTACAATATATCGAATTACAAGTTCCTTCAGCCTAAATGCATTTTTATAGTAGCAATAGCGAATAAACATCAGGGAACTACATATCCCATGATTCATTTCAGCACAGAGGACATGAAATTATAAGTTTTTTACTTGAATTCTTGAGATTATGACAGTAATAATTCACACCAAAATCTTGTCAGGGTATTTTAAAAGCAAAAAACCTCTTCAAAATATCGCAATGAATATCGTACCGTCAGATGTACATCGTGATAATATCGTACCGAGATTTCTGAATATAGTTCCATCCCTAATTCACTGTTATTGCCTATCCATGGGTTTCAGAACGCTGAAACATTTCAGCTGTTGCCATAGGGCGTGACAGTTTAAAATGAAATATAATATCTTTTGAGTAGTCAGGCTGGTGACACCTAGTGCCTCCGCTCAGTTTCTCTTTGTAACCTTAGGTCAGAAATCGGAATACACTAGACAGTTTGCAAAAGTGCAAGTTTATGCACAAAACAAAGAGAACAAAGAGAATGTTTGGTGAAATTTATCAAGGGGAAAATCTATTGCCCTTCTTCCTATGGGATTTGGAAAAGTTTAATATTCTACTTAGCCCCGTTAGTGGCACATTACATATGCCATGACCAAATAGCAGCAATCGGTTAAATAAAAAAGTACCTGCGTATCATCGAGCGAATGAATTCTAACGCTGGTCAGACTTTCAGATTTATACGAAGTGAAACTATCTAATGAATCAGGCTATCTTTAGACTGGGAAATTGTCCTTAAAATGTTGCATGTAACAAGAAGCTGAAACAGATCTTGTGCTTATTGGAAATGCATTGCCAATCAATCAATATAATTTTATTTTTCAAAGCATTCATTTCAGCTCTATACACTATACTTCTCTTTTAAGTCCACCTTTAGACCTTGCCCTATCTCTGTAGATTGTTAAATCGGCATTGCTGTCATTTGTTACCTGGCCATAAAGAAACTAAGATGCATTAAGATAAAACTATACATTCTTCATAACCTCATAACTATTCTCCTTATTAAGACTTTTTCACTACTTATACATTTATTCAATAGATTAGCCTATTTTCAACATTTTAAAAGTACACTTTACAACTTCTTTCTCTCTATAGGATAAAGATAACTACAATTATGTTTTACAATTATGTTTACGAGTTTGAGCCATTAATAATCACATTTTGAAAGTCAATTAGCTCATTTGCTGCATTTAACTTATTCTGAAATTCCTATAAGATTCTACTTCAAATTAACAAAAAACACTAGTCTACATATTTGCCATGTTTCATGTTTCGAAACAAAAATATTAATCCTTGAAGAAAACCTTGTGATGAAAGGTCGAGACAAACTCCTTCATATCGGGGAGGTATTATTTGCCTGAAATCCATAAATAGCACCATATGATTCTGCGCCCTCCAGATGCCCTGTAGTCCCATTATTTAGCCGTACTCGCCTTTTCTCCATTCGACACTGACACTATTGCCCTCCTCTTGGCTGCTAAGTGACCACCCCAGTCTGCCCCTTCATAATAAATAGGTCAGAGTTGACTGTTGAACATATCCCTCAGTTATAATAGGTCTTTATAAACCCATAGTGGTTGCTCTTTGGGAGGTTGTCGCGATGCCTTCAGGGACCTGGTCTTTTCAGGACAAAATGCTGTTGGATCCACTGACTCTATGGGCTCCTGTTGTGTGTCTTTGTGCAGGACTGAGACATGAAGGACAGCATCGCCAACAACAGCACGGCCAGCATCTCCCAAGCCCGGAAAGCCGTGGAGCAACTCAAGATGGAAGCCTGCATGGATAGGATAAAGGTACCGTTCATTTTGATTTGATCTTTATTAAAGTAGACATATTATTTTTCATGATTTACAGCTGTGCAAGTGTGGAATTGGAAATAAAACTAAATAAGGCTGCACATTACAATATACTGCAATAAATTCAAAATTCCGATTTGGGTTCACACAAATATTAAACCGCAAAGACTGCAATTATGTAGATGGATGTCCTCTACAAAGAACAAAATATCCTGTGCTTTTATAGAAAAATTGCATCATGCCTGGAATTTAGATCTCTATAAACTTGTTTTAAAATACGTGGAATTCATATTTTGTCTTCTCTCAAATCTTAATGCTCATGGAGTTGTGGATCAATCTTACTTTTTAAACTTGCATCGCAAATCTTATAACAAACATTTTAAAAATGTCAGAAAAAAGCAATTTCTTACCTAAATTAAGCAGCTCTATGCAAAATCTTACACATTATATAGTTGGAATGATGCTAATTATCCAGTTTAATTTAGAACAAGTTACAAGAGTGATTATCGATTCCTTCTATAGTGATAATACATAACCATGACATATACCTATAATCACCTGGACATAACAAAGCAAGGTTAGTCATCCCTTTATAAAGAAACAAAATTAGGCTTAGGTAATTACACAGCAAATATCTTCCCTTCTTTAAACATTTTGTGAAATCAATGATCCAAACAAAACATGTTGTTTAGTCTGACGTCTCTCCTGGGATTAAATCACACGCATCAGATCATCTCAGTCAGTTGTGACGCTCTGCACACTTTCAGATTAGAGCAAATTTAAGGAAGAGGAATTGAGGAATAAGATATAAATACTAAGCGTTTTTTAATGATAAATAAGGATAGAGATGTTTGGACATGTGCAGAGGAGGAATAGTGAATATATGGGTAAGGAAGTTTAGCCTGATTCATCGCAGCATTAGGATTCGTTCGCTCGACGGTAGGCGGTTACTTTTTTATTTAACCAATCTCTACTATTTGGTTGTGACGTATGTAACGCGCCGCTAATGGGGCTAACTGGTATATTAAGCTTTCCCAAATCCTGTAGGAAGAAGTGCAATAACATCTAGCCAGGCTGATGCTACCTAGTGGCTCCACTCAATTTCTTTTCACTCCAGCGACTAGGTCAGGAATCAGAATACACCAGATGGTTTGCAAGAACCCCGAAAGTGCGAGTTCGGGCACCAGCCAATCAGCAAAGAGCCATACATTCTATGTTGGCAACGATTCTCGAGATCGAGGATTTAAAGCCGGAACAAAGAGAATGTTTGGTGAATTTTATCAAAGGGAAGGACATTATTGCCCTTCTTCCTATGGAATTTGGAAAAAGCTTAATATACAAGTTAGCCCCATTGCGGCATTACGTCACAACCAAAAGCAGCGATTGGTTAAATTTTAAAAAAGTACCCACCTACCATCGAGCGAGCGAATTCTAACGCTGCGAGGTTAGATGGTTTCTATGAAGTGAAACCGACTGATAACTAAATAACGTCTTTCCCCGTGATAAAATTCACCAAACATTCTTTTTGTTCCGGCTTTAAATCCTCCATCTCGGGAATCATTGCCAAAACAGAATGTATGGCTCTTCGCTGATTGACTGGTGTCCGGACTCGCATTTCCGGGGTTCTTGCAAGCCATCTAGTGTATTCTGATTCCTGACCTACTGGCTAGAGAGAAATGAAAATGAGCATAGGCACTAGGTGGCGCCAACCTGACTAAAGGAAGGTTGGAGCTACTAGGAAAATGGAGACCTAGACTGCTTTCACACTCCTCTTTGGTTCTGGTTTGGCCTTTGTAAATTGCTGGTGAAGATCTGATTTGTTATTCTTTTAATCTCTGGGCTGGTCCTGGTCTGGTCCTGATCCTGGTCTGGTCCTGGTCTGGCCCTGGTCTGGTCCTGGTTTAGTGCTGGTCTGGTCCTGGTTTAGTCCTGGCATAGTTCCGCTTTTAGATCTTGTGCACGTAAACACGCATCAAAATCAGATCAAATTATTGGTTTATCTGATTATTATGTAAATGTACCCACTATTAATCTTGACTGAAATGACAGATGACCAGTTTTTTATTGTATTACTGTGTACGTCACTGAAATGATCAAACCCGATTACGCCACTCTATCTGAATTTAGACGCACGTGAGCAAGAGGTGACCAGACTGAGAGATCATCTGTTTCGAAAACACAGCGAACCAGTCTATATTTGCCCACCATCTTGTGCTTCTGTAATCACCGTGAGTCCTGAGAGCGGTGACTTCACCAGAGGAGCTGACCTGACTGCCTCCTCCTGTCAGCCCCCTGTCCCCCCGCCCGCCCCACACTGTCTTTTACTGTCACATATAGAGTCCACGGAGTCTCACAGCGGGACGTCCCTCTGCCCTGACTCAGAGCCACTGTCTACTGCTGCTGACACAGACCTTCTCCGGGTCTTTGTCATAAAAAAGTTTGCATTTTTGTTACCCCAGCGGAAGATAATAATAGAGAATAGAGAATAGTGATATATTGTAGTAATAACTTTCACCGTACTGGGGTTCTGCTAATCCGTAATAGTAGCAGTAATTATAGTGAATTACTCAGCGTTCACTTTTACCATGGGACGGACTGAAACACGCTGCCAATGGCCTGTGTGTTTGGCCAAAGCACAATCAGCCAACATGTTATTTGTGAATCAGCATCCATGACTATTATTACCACTCTGCTACGCCCTGTGCAAATGCTACTGCTGCTAGTACTACTACGACTACTACGGCTACTGCTATTACTGCTGCTACTACTAATACTTTTACTAATATGTCTACAGTTACTACTTTGACTACTACTACTGCTACTGCGGCTAGTACTTTTACTATTATTACTGCTATGTCTGCAATTACTACTATGACTACTACTACTACTGCTGCTGTTATTACTGCAACTGCTGCTGCTACTGAGGCTGTTGCTATTATTACTACGAACTATTTCTACCACTGCTACTGCTACTACTACGACTATGACGGCTAGTACTACTACTATTACTACTACTACTACTACTACTACTACTGCTACCACTACAATGCCTGCTGCTATTACTACTACTACTGCTACTGCTGCTATTACTGCAACTGCTACTACTACTACTACTACTACTATGGCTGCTGCTATTACTGCTATTACTACTACTACTACTACTTCTGCTGCTGCTGTTACTGCTAATACTACGACTATGACTACTACTACTGCTGCGACTACTACTACTACTACTACTACTACTACTACTACTACTGCTGCTGCTGCTACTGCTGCTGCTGCTACTGCTACTACTGCTGCTGCTGCTACTACTACTACTACTACTACTACTACTACTACTACTACTACTGCTGCTGCTGCTACTACTACTACTACTACTACTACTACTACTACTACTACTACTACTGCTGCGACTACTACTACTACTACTGCTGCTGCTGCTACTACTGCTGCTGCTGCTACTACTACTACTACTACTACTACTACTACTACTACTACTGCTGCTACTACTACTACTACTACTACTACTACTGCTGCTGCTGCTGCTGCTACTGCTGCTGCTGCTGCTACTACTACTACTACTACTACTACTACTACTACTACTACTACTACTACTACTACTACTACTGCTGCTGCTACTGCTGCTGCTGCTACTACTACTACGACAACGACGACTATGACTACTACTACTTTTGCCGTTACTGCTAGTACTACTACTACTACTACTACTATTTCTGCTACTATTACTGCTACTGCTACTGCTACTGCTACTACTACTACTACTGCTACTACTACTACTACGGCTGCTGGTATTATTACTACTACTACTACCAACACTATGACTACTACGACTACTATTACTACCACCACTACTACGAGTACTACTACTAGGAAAGGCAAGTTTATTTGTATAGCACAATTCGTACACAAAGTACAAATAGAAAAATCATAATACAAACAATACATACTACTACTCCTACTACTACTACTACTACTACTACTACTACTGCTACTACTACTACGACGACGACTGCTGATAGTACTGGTTTTCTTTTATCGTGTATAAGAAGAAATGTTTTATATCACTGTTTTAAGTTCACCTTTTGATCTATTTTGCAACAACCCAACTTTGCCACTTTGACAGTTGAGTCCATTGTGGCCCATATAATAATATAATGGTGTAATATACTCGTCTGCTGTCTGTGTCACAGTTTAAGGTCAGCGGCCCGTCTGCTCCTCTCATGTTTCCAAAGCCGTATGATCTTTCTAATTTTAAATCCAGCTCTTGTTCTGATAATGGGGGTGAGTTGTTACATTATGGCCCTCAACCTTTGGTCCAACACGCAGATCACTGTGTCATTATCGCATCACGCTGGTTACATATTGACTTTGGACCTATCTACTCTGTTTTCATTGCAGTTTTAATGGGGGAAATCTCGCTATGTAAATACAGGCACGCAGTCAATCTATTTATATTTAGACAATATCTGAACTTAAAATATACAAACCATTCCCTTGCCTCGTGTGGTAGAGTTTATGCTGATGAAAAAAATAAACAAACATAGTATAAATTAACTATCAAAGCTTTTTTTGTCCACCCGTTTTCAATTTTCCTGCCCTTTAAAGGCTAAAAGTGTCCAAAAACATCATAAACTGTTTTGAGCTGTAGAAGATCTTTTCACTGTGGAACATCTTTTAGCAATAATTCAATATAAGTTTGCATGCTTGCTCAGGGTTACTCAGCTATGGGGGAGCTAATGAGCACAAGAACTTTGTAAACCGCAAAGTTCGTAAAGCAAATCTTTGTTATAAATGTGCTTTTTGGACTTAAAGTTGCACTATGTAACTTTTTGTTTCAGGGTCTGCCGTCACCTGTTTATTTTTATGAATACAGTATGTCTTTGCTCTGCCTGTAATGTTCCACAGTGTGACATTAAACACCTTGTATTTATTCAATTACAGGTGGTTTTACTGCTCAGAAATAGAAAAACTAAATG